AATGAAAACATCAAGTGTGAAACACGGTTCACTTTAATAATAATAATAATAATAATAATAATGGAGATTTGTAAAGCCCATGTATCCACCTAGTGAAAGGCGCTCAAGGCACTAGATACACAGAAAAATGACAACAAATACATATTACATATGCAGTAAAAGATGCAAATACTGAAAATATACTAGAATTAGTCCTACATAAGCAAAGAAAAATTAATGAAACACTAATTAAATGCCTGAGCCATAAGATGGGTCTTCAAGGATGCCTTGAATGAATGAATGGAGTCAGCACTTCGAATAACAGCCAAGTCTTAACAAAATGGAGGGAAACGACCTTTCTTCTCATTGCATCCCATTCCTGTGGGTGGCCAAAGTCTGCAGAAACCTCCCCCTTGCTTGGCAACAAGTTGTGCCTCAGAGTGCACATTTGGCCCATTTATAAAATACAACAGAGGGAGAAAGATTTTGAGGCTATTACATCCGAACCCGCATACCAATAATAACCCTTGTACAATTTCATTTCCGTAACTTTTCTGTGGGCTTTTTCCTCTTACAACGGCATTCCACGGCATCCTATTTTCCCCAGCTTTCCCTGGCTTTTCCATGACTTTCCTGGACAATTTTTTCCAAGGAGTTTTCAGGATTCTCCATGACTGTGGGAAGTTGGAAACTCTACAGAATGCCGCTACTGCCACTATTTCGGGGGAGAGCATGGATAATTGAAATTTTATCACACACTTCAACACAACCAATAAAGGTGGGCAGAATCATCTTCATTACGTTCATGAGGGGCAGAAAGTCCCTCAAAATACATTTGATACAAAAATCTTTGACGGACACTACTTAAGGTTTTCTACCTCGGTTAGTCCGAGGCTCTGCTTGCGTATGAGCGCCATCAGGCAGCCGCTCAACGTCCTCATCAGCAGGACGTTGGTGGACTTGCGGATCATGTCGTCTCGCTCTGTCTGGGTCAGGTGCAGGTCCTGGGAGAACTTGTGGCAGGCGTAGATGAACTCCTTGATCTGCCGGTAGACCTTGGGCACAAACTCCGAGAAGGGCAGCCGCTTCGGGTAGGGTTGCTGTGGAGAGAAAGAGGAAGGTTCGGAACCTTGAAGAATCACAGGCCTGGTAGCTTCTCTGGCCATTCCTAGGTACAATTTTCAGCACTGAAAGTCCACGCCAGTCGAGTTGGGGGTAAATCAGATGACAGGAGATTACATATGACAAAGGAGTGCACTGACTTTTGAACGTGTGAGGTAACGTCATGTGGCAGTCTCTTTTGTAAAGATGTGTGATTCTGAAAAGAACCAGTGAGTTGACACTTGACGTTTCAACAAGTACGCCTTGATCATCTTGGGGAAAGAGATGCCTATGTAAGAGTCCATCCAAACAGCCTCTGCCTTGACTTGGACTGAATGACTTTGAATGGACTTACGAGGACTTGTGATTCATTAACGAGTCTTTACTCAGATGTAAAAATGCTGCACGCAGCAATCACACAAAGAAATAATTTCATTTTGGAACAAAGTCTGAAATATCAATAAGAAAAAAGGACTAGCTCGCGCTGTTTACTATTAAACATGCAATGGTACTTCAGGTTCCCTGACATAGATAATAAAAAATTTCTGACTTTGTGAAACAAACTTCTGTCTCATTCGTGTCCTGGAAATTAATGGTCTTTTATACAACCGAAAGGGCAATTTTACCTTTTCCAACTCGGCACTGGTGAATGGAATGGTTCTGGTAATCTCGTTATACTCTTGTTCGGTTTCCACGATAATTGCAGTGTAGTTGTCATTGTCAAAAATCTCACTGTGAGCGAGAAAATACAGAAAACGGGCATTAATTTACCAAGTCACAAATGCATTTGTGAATATTCACGTTTGTTGGTCTTTGGATAGAATTACCCAAATATATAGAACAGATAAAGAAATTCACTGGAGTTCTGTTAGAACCTGCAAACCCTGGAATACTTCTGTCAGTGCTCCGCAAACTCAGCTGTGCAGCTCTGAATTGGCAATTCTTCAAATTTTCGAAAATCACAATACCAACCGTAGCAACGCTGCATACTTAGAAAAAAACGTGATTGAGGAAAGTTCAGAGGTTAGACCCCTTCAAATAAACCAAACAGGGAAACTGACAAATAGAGAAACTGACTGGAGTAGCATATCAACCTGCAGCCTCTAGAAACACCGCGCTGGCCCCTTTGCCGACTGAGCTATGAGCTGCTGTCAGCTCTTTCTATTTCTCAGTATCTTTATATGTAAATCGCTTGCCTGGGGAATGTTTCTCCCGCCACACCTTGTCTGCTATTCCGTCTCTTCCCTCCTCCCCCCACCCTATCCTGTTTTCTGGTCCCCTTCCCTGCTCGACTTACCTGAACACCTGCACCCAGGTGTTCATCAGTATCTCGTTGTACTGATCCTTCAGGTCCAGCAGGAGCTCAACGATGGGCGTCGAGTTGAAACCGTAACTCTGCAAAATTGAAGGCACAGAGAATGAACAACTCACAGACAGCTCACAGTACGGGAGGACTATGGTACAGTATATGAACATGAACTACATCATGCATAGATGACGTAGGGAAGACGGTGTAATAAGCTGTTGCACGAGTGTCAAAAGATTAGAGAGTCAACTTTACGGGGAGAGTGACTGCATTGGTCTTGCTCATTATTTTGGCAACAAGCGACTCTGTCAACGGATGAGCCTGCTGAGTGTAACAAGAAGTACTCAGCATAGACTGCAGGTTTTGGTGAACTAAGGTACTGCACATATGTTAGTATGAAGTAGTGTGCTATTTACAATCTTTCAGGGTGGGTTCTGTTTATTTCCTTCAATATTTTAGCTAGAAAACAGTTGTCATACTGAGAAGCCTGCTCAGTGTACGTGTAGTAAGTTGCATTCAGGTGGGCCAGGGTTGAATCTACACTACTTGCAAAGCTGTCTTATTTCTTTCCATGGGGATCTCTTTTCAGAGAGCAAATACATGGAAACCTCAAATGCTTTTCTTGCTGTCAGAAATCAACTCTTTCAGGGGCTGAAAACCATGTTTTGAGGATAGCAGGTGGCGCTTCTCAAATTTTTGTGATACTGTTCGAAAACATACTCCAGGGACTTTTGCAATATTATTAACGTTTTTGCATATTTTTTGGGAGGTGGGGTTGTTTCACTGAATATTATTTTCCATAACCCACCCATTCGCATTTCACAACAAACATTGAAAGTTAGGAACATTGGTTAGTATGAAGGGCCCCTCATTTCACAACTAACTGACTCCTGCCTTACGTTCAATGTGTGCGTGAAGAGCACGACTTGCTCCTTGATCTGAAGAAGTAATGTGGCGTCAGTACAGTAGGCCTAGAAGAAAACAAGGAAAGTGTGAGTTCTCAGACAACAAATCAAAGTCAGCCATCAGAATCAAACTGACGTCTGTACACCTCTAGAGTCTTTGCAGAATAGTGTGGGAAATGTTACAGCAGCAACTGTGACTTCACAGAGCCTTCTTCAGTCCAGTGGCTTAGAGGCAGCCGTATGTTGATGGTCACTGCTTGATGTAAAATCAGTAAAATATATTGACAACTACATGTCTTTAGAGATCAGAGAGGGTGTAAATGACAGAGAATTACATGCAGGTACATGATGAAGTTGGCAAAGCAATAGACCACTCTCATTTTGACTACAATTTGTATGGGAGGCCACAATTTGCTGAAAAATCATCCTTTAGTTGGTTTACAATTTTACCTCAAAGTCGTTCAAAATGCACATTTGTTTCATTAATCTGAAGAGGGTTGTATTTTCATTTATTACGACTTACATGTAGCACATGTACTATTATCTGGTGCTTTGATAGGTGCATGGGATTTTTAAACATTTTATGAATTATCTTTTACATTTACTGACGGCATGCCATAGTTTTAGCCCACTTGTAGGAAAAACACAACCGTTGTGCCGAAAGAGCAGGCCCCAGTCAATTATTCTCTTGAATTTTTAAAGCGCCTTTGAGAACTGCATGAATGCCGTTTACTCACTGAGTTGTTCCTTAACGTTGCCGCTATCTTGGAGAGGGCGGTGTTCCACAAGTCGTCTAGGTACTGTCTCGTCACGAGCCCCTCGGTCGTGTTCAGTATGTGGTCTTCCACCACAAAGAACCTGGACGGAAGTCACAATGCAGACATTGAACTTGAGCCAGGGATCACACTCAAGCATGGGGTGGAGGGTTTAGGAAGCACAGCCGCCATCGTATTCTCACCCTGACTTGGTGCTTGGTGCCCTTGATGAACGACAGTGGTCAAAGTAATCTACCCTCGAATTTTCTCCACACACTACAGCACTTTGGAGGATTCAGTACAAGTGCCGAAAACAAATGTGCCTGACAGTAAGATGTACTTACAAAGTGTTATGGATTTGGTACAAACTGTACGACTTACCCCAAGATTTGATAAAAGTACTTCTTGTAGTGGTTCAGGTTTTCATACTGCAAAAACGAATTCATTACACAAGATTACATAAGGCTAGATTTAAAAAAAAAAGAAACACGAATGAAAAATGTGCAAAAAAAATGCGTATAGCGGCAATCAAGTGCATGTAACTGTACTGCTTAACCCTCCCTTGCTGAAGTCACTCTTTGGGTCAGTTGGTAAGCACATCAAAGAAGCACAGCTGTGTCGCATTGTGCACTGCACCAACAGTCCCTCACAGGAATATCAGATTGCACTTTTGTGCTGCCCACCAACTGTGCTTCACTGTGCACAATTGTGCAGTAAACCAAATGCAGTGAAGAGGACTGCACAAAAGACCCTGAGTCATTTTGTGCTGACAACCAACTGTGTACACACTGAACCTGTGCATGTTTGTGTTCCGTGTAGAAAACATTGCAAGAGAGTGACTGTGGGCACTCGTACATATTTGTGCTGTGAAACCAAAGGAGGGTTAATACAAGGAACCATACAGCGGGGCATAGAGTGTAACGTACCCTCACAAGATGATTTCAAAGGCACTCTCATTGGATCATTTGTGCATGACCTCAAGCCGAGGTCAGAATAAGGTGCAACTACAAGTGTCCGTAATCTTCATTCCCCCACTTTTTCCACTTGCAGTCACCAACAATCCCCTGCATTTTTATTTTGAGATACCATGGTGGCTGCATGAGACCAGCTAGGCCTTGTGTCACAAAGCGGTTCGCTACAGAAGTGTGCTAAACCTACCTATTTGCCTAGCAGAAGTTGGTTACCAGCTAAAAATGATAATATAGTGCAAGCACATCCATGTATTTTGTGATTGGTTCCTGTCTGGTTTGGCTCAGCCCATTAACTTGTCCAGCGGTATTTCAACGCTGTGAAGCTCTGTGCAACAGGAGTGATTCACAATACGGTGCACCCCCCCCCAGTTTCTGTCCTCCAAACCTACTGGAAACTTTACCACCCTGTACATCACGTAATTTGAAAATGGTGGACATGCTGTTATTTGGCTCAACCGCAGTCGACAAATAGAAGACGTTTCTATTGTGTGGCATGTGGCAAGACAAGGTGGGAGTGGGGTTGCCATATCTGACTGAGAAAGTACAAACAAAGTGTAGTGATTTTAGAGCTGCGTAACTAGGTAACAGAGCGATGCCATGTTGACCTTTACCCACAATGCAGTGCAAGCATTAGATTTTTGAGTCCTCTAATTACAGTTGAGCGATACTATGAATCTCTCAGGAGAATATCATTTGCATGTGTGTTCAGAGAAGTGGCAAACCACACCCTGACAGTTATAGAGAGTGGAGCCTCGCTGACAGGGTTCTTACCATGTTCCCATGGGGCTGGATAGCTAGCTTGGATTGCTTCCCTCTCTGCTTCCGATAGTAAGCCTCAAAGGTGTCTCTCATGCCCAACACCGAGTAGATATGCAGGCACCGATAAACGGGGGAAAAATCCACCTTGTCCAAGGGGCTGATCTCCTGTCAAACAACACATACAATGGCTGACATTTTAAAATCAGCCCTGACCATTCTTTGGCAAGCGCTGCTTCTAAATACTTCCAAACAGGTTGCACCTGTATCTACAATAGTTGCAAGGTAATGAAGCTTGTCTTATGAAATTATGGAGGAACGCATGAAAAATCATGAAACTTGTTTAGTGTTGAAGAAAACCCCAGAAATTTAAAACTGTAGATTTGCTTGCTCACTCGGGAGTGTAAAGGCCCCCGTACAGTATGGTCACTTTAGGATTGGAGACCAACATCACAGCAATGCCGTCACAGACTTTTCGTTTGATACAACTATCGATTTCAAAGAGACTGTACAAAAAATGTAGGCGCATACTTGCAGTAAGCAGGGCCCCAAATCAAGCAGAAATTGAAGGATAAAATGTCCTTACTGGCTACATGTCTACATGCATGGACTATAAAGCCTGCCTCAGTAGGTCCCAATGCAGTGTCAAAACAAAATGGACTTTAAACTTCAATTGAACAACTTTAAAACAGGTGTTAGTCAAAGCCCAGGCCAATTTTTACATGTAAGTCATCCAATTTAAGCAGAAAATCTATTTTTCCTGTCCGACCTCTTCTTCTTCTTCAATGAAGTCTTCACTGAAGGGGTTTGTGCTGTCGGCTTCTGCCAAGGGAGATTCCTTCTTGGGCCCAGCGATGCCCTTCAGGAAGACCGAAGACTCCATGTTACTGCGCTTCTGCACCTGGGGAGAAAGAAGGAAAATGTAAACAAACTCAATTTGCTGCTCCTTTGTTTCACTCAACGACCCATGTGCACAGTGTTCTAAATCTGCCCTGCGTACGCGTTGTATTCTCAAAAGATCGTGCCGACAGACAATCTTTGGAAAAAAAAATTAAAAATTTCTCTTTTCTCGAAAATGACAGCAATCCTGGCAGTAAAATTCCACAGACTGTCTGACACTATTATGCACTTAGTTTACACTAAGAAATTTCAAGATAATTCATCGGTCCCATTTTTGATATCTTGCATATCCTATACAGAGTCTTTAAGTTTTTTTTTTCAGTTAACCACTTCATGCCGGGGCATTTTTCAATGTTGATGATGCTGGGCCGACATGACTATCATTTTCTCTGTTTTCAAAATCCTTCAAAAAATTCATCATTTCATTTAAAGGTCGTTTATAGGCNCAGAGCCCAGATTGTGCGGTGTTATATAACTGTCTTTTGTTCACGAACCTGGCACAGTGCATTGCTGACCTCTTTTCAATAGGGGCCAGATTAGCATGCAGCAGTGCACTGCTGTGTGGCTCATCGCTGCGGTGGTGGAGCGCGTTTGTCCCCGGTGGTAATCTGCTCGCTCTCAATGCCCCAAACCCTGGTATACGGTTTCAAAACAAGGCTGGATTATCACCACTTTAGAGAGTGAAAATTGTCGGTAATGCCCAGCAGCCTGGTCTTTTGTTTGGAGTACGGTCTTTTGTTACAGGGCCCTGTTTCCTTTGTCCGAGTTCGGAGACCCCGGCCATGCATATAAACCATATGTCTCCGACTCTGGATTCTGGAGTCCCCGGCAGGAAGTGGTAAATTCATTTGGTACGGGGGGCCCTAAACTTTTGCAAATGACTGTAGAAGAACTGCTGATACCTGTTTCATGGCCTCCTCCCCTATCCAGTCCGAGTGCTTCCTGATGCTCTCCAGAAAGTCCTTAAGGTCGCTCATGGAAGCCTCCATGATGCTCTCTCTCAGCTTGGGGATATTCTTGGCCATGTTCTCGCAGAACCGGTAGCGCTGGACCCTCGGGAGCTGCGTGTGTTCCAGCTGCTCTAATGTTTTCAGTGCATTGTAGTATCTGAGGGTTGTAAGTGCATAAATACACGTACATTAGACCTCTGTACCAATGCTGCCACACATGTACATGGGTGATTCCAGAAATTAGGGGTCCAAAAGTATGACATTTTTGTGTCCCTGTTACATCAGAACTTTGTTTTTTGACATGGAAATATCACCGGAATTGATTTCAAACTATTATTATTTGTTTGGCAAGTAATTTGCATTAATTCATCACTCTTGGAAAATGTGTTCTGAACATATGTCAGATGCGATAGGGACACCGAAAAAAAAGGACCCCTACTTTCTGGAATTACCCATATGTACCTTCCTATGGTGCTCACCGGATGGTTCGCTCCTACAAACTCCACAAGGAACTGTACATGTAAACAAAGTGTAACGTCTGTAGTACATGTACATTGGCCTACTATGCACTGCACATGCCTGGACAGTACACATATACATGTACGTTTTTGTACCGGTACAAGTTAAACTTGATTTTGTTAAGGCCAAACCAAAAATTAGTTGTGTTTCCTATTACACTGAATAATAAATTAGGGTGGTTGGTTGGGTAAAATATTTTCTTTTACTCTAAATTTGTACAGCCAAAAAAATTAGGGTTGGATGATGGATTTTTTTGGGGGGGACAGTGTATATTTGTAGCAGGTAAATGTACTAAGTCAGTGTCAGATTAATACTGTACATGTGCGTGTCAATATTACATATCAGCACCGTAATTGAGTAGTAAAGCAGCTGGTTATTGAAATACAAGCACACAAGAGCCGTCCACCTCAGGGGAAAAAAAAATTAGAACAACACAATGTACAGGACAATGTACACAAAATTAGGCTCGGGGCAAGGCATCATAAGTTTTTATATCGTATTGATTTGTCGAATAAAAAGATAAAGGTTGCGCATGATTTTCTAGGTTGGGTCGGGTAACCGGAAACACAGCTATTTTTTTTTGTTTGGTCTAATACGAATTTTTGTGTTTGTCGATTCCATTCATCAGTCACTGCAAACGTCAGCCATCACTGACACAAAATTAACAACCACAGCATCTGCTATCACCATGGCAAGCACAAAACTACAGAAAACGATATCCCCACAGTGCATTTAATCAGCACCTTGTTCATGTCTACCTTACATGCACAGTGTACATGTACATGTATATACATTGTACATCACCATCAATATACATGTACATGTGCACTGTTTTCTCTCTCAACACCAGACCATTACAAAATACATGTACCTGTACACTGTACATGTAATGAATGCAACCACAGTGCACCTTGTTTAAGAATACCATCCCTATCAACATACATGTACATGCACTACTTGTGTTTTCTCAATCATCACCGCTCCATTTACCACCACCAACCTTGCATTATATGTAGACTAGAGTATTCCGCAACCCTCCCCACCAGTTTTCACAACCAGCAACATCATCATCATCACCAATGCCACTGTCATAAGCAATGTGGTCATTTAGGCCAATAAAATGTGAAAGATTTGCACGCATGGCTACCTCTGCTGCAGCGAAACATGATCCCAAGGGCAAAATATGTCATTTCTACTTTATGCCCTGGGCAACTCCCCCAAACTGAGCGACGAGATGGCACATTCTTTATGCATACCAGCTACATGTGGGTATACATGTATGTAATTTTATAAATTCAGGGTCTAAAAGTGTGACATTTTTGTGTCCCACTACACCTTGCCAGTGTAATTTGACATTGAAACATCATCAAAATTGAATTGAAACTATTTCTATTTGTTTCGCAGGTAATTTGCATTAATTCAGGACACTTGGAAATTAGAGAGTGTGTTCTGAATAACAAAATCATATGTTGGATGTGACCGGGACACACAAAAAATTGGACCCCCAATTTAACGAATAGCCCACGTACCCTGTCCTTTGTTCTGATTGGTCTCGGAGGGTCAAGGTTAATGTACATGTATCTTAGTTACAGTGCCCCTACTACCGTAGATGTGGCTGATCTAGATGCAAGAACATGTACAATGAAATGTACGTGTGTCTGTGCATTGTACATGTACTGGGGGGCTGCCGTTCACATTATCAGGGTTCCTGCACCTAAAGGACAATTATAAAATTACGTGACCAAATTATGAAAATCCACAATCAAATAACAAAATTTCTTGGACTTATCGGCCTTTTAGGTTGCAAATACATATACAATCACAGATTTTATGCGCTTATTTCTGATAACAGTAATCACACAGTGTTTTATGACTTCCATGCCAAAATTCCATAACTTTTCCATGACTTTAGTCATTTTTACAAAATTCCATGACTTTTCCAGACCTGAAAAAGGAAAACCAAATTTCCATGACTTTTCATGACTTTTCCAGGCCGCAGGAACCCTGCATTATAAAGCATGCAATGTCATCACTGTACAATGTATATATGTATTTTGTGAGTTGTATAATGTCAAATATGAATAACAAAATATTTTTCAAATTCTCTACATTTTATTAATCCCAGTCATTATTCAATCACTTCGTAATCCAGAATACTTGAACATATATGTACATGTACCCAGAACGTCAGTCACAAAGAAAGGAACAGAACTATTGAAGCAAATAACACAACAGATGTACATGTACCAAGTACTGATTAATGGTACAGCCGCCTCTTTTTTATAATGTTCCTGGGGAGTACACTACAGGTATTGGTGTGTTCATGTACATGTACAAAGCTACATGTACCACACGTTGACCCTATCTCCATCTCGTCTGCATGCTCGTCTATGTTTCTCTTTCTCTGCTATCTCCTGCTCCGAATCCTTTGAGAGTTTACCTCTTATTCTCCATCTGCTCATTCAACTTGCAGTACATCTGCAGAACTATGGACGGGAAGAGGGGAAAAAGAGCAAAAGACGATATTGGTAACCGTAGAAAAAAATCAATAATTTATGCAGTACTGTGACCATCTACTGTAAATGTGCCTGTACATTGCTCGAGCCTTATCACGCCTCTGTTGGTTTACGCTCGATTATCACTGTGGGGCCACGGCATGAATATGGACCAGATGAAGAGCAAGATCTGTGTTTTTTTGTAACTGGAAGCAGAAGCACATAAAATTAAATATTTATGTATATATATTATAGTAAATGTATGGTACCGGCCAATAAGTGTCCATAAGCTCAGGCGAGATTAATGCAAAATTCCCTGGGTACTGGGGGTACTGGTGAACATGATGTACATTGTATGTCAACAAGTGGTCATTCACATTTGTTCAATAAACACTTCATGTATGTTCACTCATTAACCCAGAACTTATATGGACTTTAAACCCTGTCTGACAAAGACGCTAGACATGTACCATGGGAGATAGCGGCAGCAGAAATGAAACACTACATTTTTTATTTGAGATTTATACATGTACAAATAAACAACTGTGCACATCATTGTACATTATGAATGTTACAACTCTAGAACTTGGCACAAAACTGTAGATAATAAAGTGAAAAAGTGACCTTTTTTGATAACCATTAAATTTCTTGTCTTACACATTAATAAGAGATATGTACATTGTACTGTATGTATACGTTTGTTCAACAATCAAACAACACACACTGTCAAAATTTTGGGCGAGAACAGGCAAACTTGTTCAGATGCTGAATACAAACACGTACATGTATGTACGGGTATGTACATGTACATGTATGAGCTAATGTACGGTTCAGGATAGAGTGAATGTCCTACTATGTATGCAGATGCCCAGTTGTCAGCGGAATAAATCATAGACCTCCAAACATGACTGTAGTGTAGGGCGTATACATGTATGTACCCCACCCATACACTGTACTTACAAAATCTTACCCCTGGTACATGTTCACTAACATGTACATGTAATTCTTAAATGCCAAACTCTATTTACTCGGTCAATCATTAATTTGTACATGTACATTTTCAAGAGACATTCTGTGTGCAAATTTTTATTCTGCACTTGTTGCCATGGCAACAGCTCGGTCAGGAGGCAATCTCCCCACGTTATCAAACGGGCAATGTTTGTGGGTCACTGTCAACTTCAAGATGAAGCACGGGCATGAGTGGAAGCCTGCTTCAGGCAAGGCTCTGAAGAATATAGACACAAAGATCAAAGTGTAGAACACAATTTAATAACACATGTAAATGTACGGGTACATGTACATGTATAACTGTACATGAATTGGTACATTGTGCAGATGTACGTATTCTGAGAACACTGTGCATATTTCTCTCATAACCAGATACGTGTAACTGATGACTATGTAAACTCGGCTTTAGTGAGGCTCCATCAAGCATCCCTGAACTCATACAATTACTATACCCGTATTTCCCTAAATTTTCTTTGGGGGGAAGGAAGGGGGGCTTTTCCTCATGCCTTTCTTTTTCTAACGTTGCAGAGCACGAACTATGGTATCATCGTGATAGTGTAAACACTGAATTCAGAAATCTGTCAAAAGACAAATTCAAAGGCAAATTGTTCATAAGAATGTTCATCTGTCTAGAATATCGGTATATAAAAATACATGTATATATTGGTATATATAATTCTGAGTACCCCATGATGTTGCCCATACATGTAGCTACAGGGACTTACAGCACATGTATACTGTACATGTATATACAGTGTTAGACTGGAATATTGAAGGCGATACATGTACATGTACCGGTATGTGGCTTGTCACTTACATGTACGCATCAATTATTTCTTCTACACTTTGGCTTTGCGCTCAGGGCTCTTCAAAAGCACAATGTATGAGTGTGCACAGTAGACGACACATCCATCAGTGCAAGTGCCGTACCCTGCAGTGTAGTTTCATGTACTGTATATATGTACATGTACATGTGTGTTCATGTATACCAATACGCTGCATTTGCAAGATTAAGAGGCTCTGTACACACGGTACAGGAAACAAAACCAGCCATCGATATATTTGCCATGTTTAAAGTTACGAATTGTTTTGAAATAGCACAAACAGATGCCACCAGGAAGTGAACTCTACTTCCCCGTAGCAATGCACATGTGTACATGTACAGCTACATGTTGATGTATGCCAACAAGTGCGTGTAAGCAAAATGGCATTTCATTTTCAATGCTTGTGCAAGTAAATCTGCAGGAAAACAGAAAGACCACAAGAACCAGTATGTACAGAAGTATGGATTTTAGTCATTTTTCACATATGTACATGTACCCATATGATTTTTTTATTCACAATTTACAGTGTTCCTCAGTGAATTCACATCAACATGTAAATTGTTCATCCAGGGTAATTCTAGAAATTACGGGTCCGGTTTTTTGGTGTGTCCCTGTCACATTTGACATATGATTTTGTAAGTTCAGAACACGTTTTACTAATTTCCAAGAGAGATGAATTAATGCAAATTACCTTCCAAACGAATAGTAATAGATTGATATCAATTCCGGTGATATTTCCATGTCAAATAACACAGGTCAGATGTAACAGGGACACAAAAAAGGTCACACTTTTGGACCCCTAATTTCTGGAGTTACCCTAATGCAGTTCCCAGATTGCTCAGTCCAACAACCAGAGAAACTAGCACTGAAGTATTCTGAACCAGTTTTGCTTCGCCCACATAATCATGTATGCGCGAGACTCCGCATGCTGCAGCATAAAGAGGATTATGTGCATGCAGGCCCCCTGCAGTAAAGCGGCATGTGCAAACTACTCCATCAGTAATGCAATTCCCACTCTCCCTGAGGGCCAGCACACGGTGCTTGGCTGAACCGTTGGCAGGCATGCGATTATCGGGGACAATCTCTCTCCGTACATGTGTACACTTTGCGGACGCTGCCTTGCCTAAATGTCAGGCTGTCTTGCGCCACAGATATGTGTGTGTCAGTCCAAACGCAGCGTCTTCTTTGTGGGGTTGCGCTCATTTGTCATCTGAGATGTTTACATATCGTGCCAAGTGCTGCGCTTCGTATTCTGAATGGTGACACTTGGAATTAAGCACAGAGCTATCCTAGAATCTCAAACACAAACAACAAAATACCGGTAAACTAAACAATGAGTAAGATAAAGTACATGTACATGTAAGCATAGACATAGGAAAAAGTTTGCCCATGGGTAATTCCAGAAATAAGAGATCGAAAAGTGTGACATTTTTATGTCCCTGTTACATCTGACCTTTATTACAGTATTTAACATGGAAAATATCACCGGAATTGATTTCAAACTATTACTATTTGTTTGGCAGGTAATTTACATTAATCCATCACTCTTTGGAGATTAAAAAATGTGTTCTGAACTTACAAAATCATATGTCAGCAGTGGCAGGGACACACACAAAAAAATGGACCCCTAATTACTGGAATTACCAATGTACATTTCAGCCTGGTTTCCATATCAACCCAAGAAATGCACAGAGAAACGTAATCAACACGCAAACTGCAATGCAGACATATAAAAACATGTCAAACAGAAGTGTCACCAATAATCCAGACCATAACCCATAACATACGCAAACCAACCCCAGACGGATTGGCAAAGTTGAGTCTGGTTCAACTTTGCCGACTGTCTGATTTGAGTCGCCGAGTAGGCCTATACAAACATGCATGCCAGCATTGCTAGCATACAGGAATGCCCCTCTCGCTTAATACATATACATGTACAGTCATTTGGTCCATTGTTTCCGTATTACTAGCATATGCAGCCCCAACCGTCAACAAAATAGCTGATCACTAACAAAATACATCAAACTGGAGTATCAGTTTGGCTTCAAGAGGAAACGTTGCCAACTAAAAAAGTTCGGGATGCCATTTTGTTTAATTTTTGGATGGAATGACGTCGCGCAGCGTCTCTTCCACGACTGTCTGTGTCTTGACTTCTTGCATGCCGTCGGCGTTCATTACAACCATATGGAAACCAGGCTTTACATGTACAATGTACATATGTATGTATACTGTACTGGGCAATTTTACTAGCTATAGAGGGTTTGCATGGCTGCCATCTTACAGGCCAGTCCTTTTGTTCCACAGGGTATACACAAAGGAGGTTTCCCTGTCATGCCTGTAAAGCAAAAGAACTGCCCTGCTAGATGTCTACCATGCAAAACCTTTATACATTAATATAATGTTTCCAACACTGTAGCATACCAGAATTCCATGTACATGTATGCACACTCTGTTCTCTCCACTTAATTTATGTACGGTGTATGTACATGTAAGATACATCACTATGCATTTACGGTTACGCGTATGTTCAAAGGAGAGATTCAGCTTTCAATAACCTCAGCATTCACCTCCTTGTAAAACAAGGCCAATACAGCCCCCCGGTCTTTCCTAAAATGTGGCGCACTTGTCTCTTTTTTCAGGTTATGACCTACATGTACCGTACACGTCAGTTCTTACCAGGCAGGCAGAGCTGTAAGAGTTCCACTGTGGCTACGATGTTCCGGTGCGTCTTGCGGGTTTTCTCCAGATCCTCTGCTTGCTGGATCACGGACAAGCCTGATCGCTGAAGAGATCGATTTGTGGATAATACCTCCTCCTGAAACCAGAGTAAGATGATAACTTCACAGTGAACTTTCATTTTTAAGTTGATACCGAAATACACACATGTACTGTGCTAGTACGTAGTCGAGTCCATCACAAGTCCGTGTACCGCAAGTCCACAATAGGTCATTCAACCCTCAGCCAAGTCGTAAACTATCCTCCCCCATATTCCAATGAAGGAGTTCTTTCTCGTTTTTACCCTGTTTTTTGAGACTGGTCTTATGACAGGGCTGGTGAAGTGACTTGTGATAGACTAAACTTTGTAAGTGTATTCTTCCACATTGGGTATCCCTTTAACAATAAACTGCAGGATTGCTTTGAATATTTGAACTGCAATATCAAAATTTCACTGCTCGAGCGGAAAACCACTGATGCAACATACACGTAGCCAACTCGCTCGGACACAGCCTTGAGCCTTGTGTTGACAAGGCGCTAAAAAAGACAATGACTGTGACCCGACTGTGCCCAGCTGCTGGGGCACTGACCGGACCTTCATGACCTTTTGACCGCTCACCTTCAGCCTCTCGGCGATGGCTCGGACCTTGAGCAGCTGGCCGATGCTGTCCACAAAGCCCTGGTAGTGGAAGTTGCACATCCTCTCGATGTCGCGGTCGTGTTCCTGGATGCGGGACTTGAGATGGTACATGAAGCGCTCGTGGTCGTTGCCATCTTGGATGGCTCTGAAACAACAAGGAACTCAATGTTGAAAAAACAAGTTAAATTCACCAAATGACCAAAAATGAAACAAGTTAAATTTTTTTTAAATGACTGAAATCGTAACACGTGCTGTTGTGCTGCAAATTTGAAACAACCTCACAGGCATGGTTGCTGTCACAGGAACCTTTCTGAAAACTTCTGAAGTCCCCCTTTATGAAAGAAACAAATGGAACATTTTTCTAATAAAATTAAAGACATGGACAAAATTTCTATGGCAATGCAATTATTTTTTAGACTTCCTTCCGACAACGCACAGATGTCTTAAACATAACAAAATTAATGTACAGTCCCCCTAAATATGCAGACAAATTTAACTAGTGTTAATACTGCAAAGAAATTTGGAGAAAAATCAAGACTGAGTGAGATTCCTTCCATTACTACGCACGATACCGGTAATTTAAAATACACAGTGTACATGTACATGTACCGGTATACTGGTACAGGTGCATGTGTAACGCAGCTGCAAATGAACAAGTAAAGCTGGGGAGCAACAACATTGAACAATCACACATGTACATGTACATGTAGGCCTATCCTTTCACTTTTGAACTCGTGGTTGATTCCATCACAAGTCCCTGCTAGTCAGTCATAAGACAACGACGAGCCATCTGGCCAGCAGAGTCACAAAGCTGTTCAATAGTCACCCTGCCACTGGTCTTGTGGCAAAACTCGTGAGAGCTACGGTTTGTGATAGACTTGACAAAACAGCCATCCTGCAACTGAGATGGTTCAGTTTTTCAATTTTTGAAACCACATGTACATGTATACAGGGACGTACATCTGGGTCATTCCATGAGGTTGGGGCACAATTTGTCACCGTGCCCTTGTTACATCGGTAACTTTTACCACATGTCGATCAAGACCTGTAGAGTGGGCCATTTACTCTGTAAAAATGACACACACACCCATCTGTATTCAGCCTTGCAAGATGTACGACGATGTCAATTGGGAATCCATATGCAGGGAAATACCTGTTCATTTTTATGGAGCCCATGTACCGGTAACAATTGACACCGTCACAAATTGTGCCCCAACCTCATGGAATGACCCATCTACCAGTTCATGTACCGGGTACGAAGAGTGCAAATCATTGTGTACCAAATCATGAAACTTATTACATGTAATTACATGTAGTTTCTGATGCCATAACATACAGGTATTATGGGTGATGTCCTGATATGTAAAGAGTCATATATACAAATGCATGTAGTTTAAGCCAGCATAAATACTGCTGCATGTACATGTACATTTGTGCAATGTGCAAACTTGATGCAATTTCAAAAAATGCACGCATGCATAATGCCTGTGAGCCTCTGGACCCAAGGGGCGTGGGTGGGGCACAGCATCTTGTAAGTACTATTACCGGAGGAGTTGGCCCGGTGTCTCATCAACGGCTGAGTCTCCCTGTCACAGCCCCAGGCCGGATATTTGATGACTCAATGTTGCTACTGAGTCAACCTGCAGCTGCAGTGCTCACTGGCAATATTCCCGACCGAAAATCTCACTGGAGATTTTTGGCCTTTTCTCAAATTTGAAATCAGTCAGACGATACGGCAACCAAACCAAACAGCGGAATGGACAAAATGTTTACTCAACAGTGTTTAACAGTCGCCCTGTGCATGTAGAGAGAATATACATATAACAGTTGTCAAATTAATTAAGGAGGAAATAACACAAATTATGTACACTAACTTTCCTGATGAGGAAGCTACTACATGTATGTACATGATGTACAGTATGGTACATGATACACAAGTATGAAATGTACATCTTGGATGCATGCACGCAATCAAACTGCATGTGGCTGTCTAAACTGGATGACGCACACTTAAACAATAGGGATACATGTACATACATGTAAGTATATACATGTACATGTACAAGTACACTGTACGTGTACAATATTTAACCCTGGCCAACTTCCTCCAGCCATGCCAACTGGTACAGCAGCAAACAATACTCTACATGTAGCAGTTTCAGGAGCGTAGGGTACACATCATGTGTACTTGAATGTACCATCACGCATCTCATTCATTGTCATTTTGTACAAATATTTGTATGCGGCACATGCATGTAACGGTACAAGTACACATCATTAATTAACGCCTTTGGTCGAGTTCAGGCGGCAGGCCTGTTCTCGACACGGGTTTCTTGCGTTCGAATGGCGGGAACACGACCCAAGAACATTGCTCTGGGCACAGGATCCCACATCACCTCCTTGTCAGGGTTTTGTACGAAGGCACAGGGAAACAGGATTTTGATTTTTGTTGAGCTGCAAAAAAAAGTGAGATGGCTGGCTATGCTGGACATGATGGAAAAACTTTGTCACATGAACATAAATAATTATGCATACCAGAGAAACGAATTTTCCTTTTTAACTAGGAAACAAGGCAGCACAGAAATCCACACATTAACCCTTGAATTGGTACATACAATGTACCGGTGCATGTAGATTCCACCCTGTTGCATGTCACTGAATACAGTGCATGAGACAGCAGCAAAAACCGATTGTAGTGTTGTGAAATTATACCGCATATTAATTATTGGTTATTAGTTAACAATTTGCAACATATACACCGTAAATGACTACCTGACAGTGCGCATTGCGATGCTCTGTGCGCTTATGCGGTGAGGCATCGCCATGCTCCTGTGCACTGACAATGCGTGAATGAGAACCTCTTATAAACAGCGTGAGCCTGTTTTGTTGGGCTAGCGCCCTCTTGTGACAAAATGCGTAAAGTTGTTAGTGCCTCACAAAACACTACAATATATTTGCTATTTCTTATGGATTTTCTTATTTTGATCAAATGTTTGGTTCTTTACTCTCAGTAAAAAGTATAAGTAGGCGTTAACTTCAAGATTGACAGTTGCTGTTCTGGCTTTGGAAGAGTTGGGCCTGTGTACAGAATAAACCAATACAGTGTTTAAATCTGTGTGATCACCTCTTGTCCCCTTTGCATGTACTTTGTCGTGTCTGGCAAATAAACCCACTACCAGTACAACACAGTACAATCCCTGGTTCCCAGCATTTGACATGTTTGAGCAACCGACCCACGAACAACCACTGGAGCTGTTCATATACATAACACTGTGCGAGTTCAGCCTTTAGAATCACCTCATTATTTATGTGCCACTGCATGTGCATATGCATGATATGTAAATGGATGTCAATGCCAACATGTGATACATGTACTTGCATGATGCCCGCATGAAATGATGACTTACATTAGGACCACTCCCATCATACACAATTGTCATACATACATACATGTACATCTGTCTTGGATACTGTTCGTTTGTTGGCCCAGAATGATCACATTAAAGGGCGATATATCTGCAGACCGGAATCACACTCACCGTGAGATACATTTGTATCTCATTCTGCTGGTGTGTACATGCACATGCACACACACGAGACAGAAGCGCTACGGGAAGTTTGAGAGCGAACGTTCCCTCTCCTTTGGCCAGTTTTGCATGGTACTCATGATACGTTTTGTGCACAGGCTACCAGGAAACTCATTCATAGATCACGCTCGTTCCAATCCCCGCAGCGTATAAGGTAATGTGGGGACCGCTAACCAGACTACAGTACATGCACTCACTGGTACCCACACTACTTTCACATGAAAGTTTACACACTTAAAGAAAGCGAGAAAACAGTGCATTTGCAGATGATATTGTTTACGTCTGTTTTAGGTTAATTACAGAGTTTGACAGTCGGCCTATCATCTTCTGAAATTCAGAATTTGTTTCTTTGGAGAAATTCCTTAAGACAGATGTACCGGGTACGACAAAACAATTGTTGACCACTGTGGTGTGGAATATGACGTTTTGAACACCCGAGGGACGCATAGTGCCCCAAGGCGAATCAAAACATCCTATCCCACACCACAGCAGTCAACAATTATTAAACAAAAACACTATCGATACCAGTGTACATGTACATGTATATGTGGACGTATTATACAGATGGTCCATTTAATATGGGTTAAATACATGATGCACAAAGGTTGTTTAGAGAGCATCATGAGCACATTCCAATTCAACATCTCATCACAACCAACCTGAAAATTTGGCAGACAGAGGTAGAGTCCGATTCCTCAATGATGCTGACAAGCCGGTCAACCTCCTCATTTTTCTCCACCGGCTGACTTTTAGAATACGGCGAGTCCATCATGACGACAATTTTCCATCAGCTACAAGTTTTCCATGTATACAAATGAAGGTACTTGTATGTTGTTACTTCCTGTTATTCGAAAATCCAGTCAGGAGCTTGGGGTATACATTGTCTCCTGGGCTGGCTCCCAGCATTAAGGCTCCACCAAAGGCAGGGAACAATACTTATTGATCCACAGTCGAATGCACAGTTCTCTTGATGCTACATGTACGTGAGGCAAGTGGGCACAGTACAGTGTACTTCCTGCATTTCAGATCCCATACAGAAGCTACGTGTACAAAGACTGCTTGACGCAAGCCGTTGTTCTACCCAAAGCAGGTACATACACAAAGTGAAATCAGAAATCATACAGCAGTCTAATGCCAACCACACTGCAAACGGTTTGCATACATGTAAATTTGTGCATGAGCATGATGACAAGGCAGCTTGTATGGTAAAAGCTACCCACCATGCCTACATGTACATGTATACTCTACGTGATGTGCATGAATACGATGAACATACAGGTTTAATTACCTGTGCACAACGCCTTTGATCTCTGACCAAAGGTCTAAAATTTCTCAATTTGGAGATCCCTATCCAATAGCAACTACAAAAGAAGCATATCTATAGATGTAGATCACAAAAACAGTGACATGTAACTCATGGCCTACATTCCGCTTGTGTACAGAAGAGACTGCTTATTTCCTTGTGAGCTGGGTAGGTTATCATGAGCCACTCTAGTGCACTGACCGGATGAGTGAGAACAGCACAATCCGAACCATTATCTGTGTGATCCATAGCATCCGTACCGAGATATCATCCCCAGGATCTAAACTGTGAACTTGAAGCCAATGCAATCACTGACACAGCAGGAGCTGTTGTGTGCACACAGGTTCTACATTGCAGGAAGGATCTCTACTCACAGGTCAATGCTTCCAATGCACAGTGCATGGTGACAGCCGTTCCTTCCCCCAGTACACATAAATAACCTGCCGGGACATATCCTTTCAGGCAACAAGTTCGACAGAGTGTAATGCAATCGCCCGACCTTGGCCTTAACCTTCCTCATGTGATCATCATAATGGCGAGGAGTGCATCGCCTGCTGATGACTACATCCAGTTCTTTCAGCCCAGCAGGTGTACGGCCCTTACGCTGTGTCAAGTACATGTACCGCCATTGTCAATTAAATATCAAGGGCATTTACATCTAGGCCAAAAGCAATTCTTGTAATGTATATATACATCTGTTAAGTTAGACAGAAAACTGCAGTGCCACCATGGCCACTGGTATACACAAACAATCAACGGCTGATGTACATGTACATTGTACAGGTACATACATGCAGTATGAACTACATAGGAAGGGAATTTTCTGCTGGTTGAATATACATGTAAATTATTTTATTTAATAATCCCCACGGAAAAGAGCAGACCACCCAGTCACGACAGCTTATTAACACATTTGTACAGTGCCATACTGTCAATACAATGTGCATACAATTTAATAACAATGTCCATGTACATGTATTACATGTACATGAGGTAATAGGCCTATAAAATTAACATGATAAATATCAAACTACATGTATGCGATGTGCAGGTAATTGGTGTAAGTCTGCATAAAAATACATTTGTAAAATGCATGCACAGGTCACCTATACTATAGTATGCATGTACATAATTTGTACCCGGTCATGTCAAGATTTTAGTACAAGTGACAAGGCTAATGAATGATGCATAAGAAATGCATTATGATAAACTGAGACATTGAATTGGGCCCTAGGCTAAGCTACATGTAAATAATGTGGGCATGACTGTTGTACATACCTGTACACACAAATAAATGACATCGTGTGCACGGACATAGGCCTATGGCTATGCACAAATGACAGATGGCCATGATACTTGTGTAAGAGAATTATATCTGTCCTTTCAAAGCCCAGCACCAACAATACTCCATTGCCATTTCTTTCCCATTTTAAATTAGGGTAGGCATCACGATCACCGTGATGAACATGAAAAAATGGCTGAAACTTCGAAAGGGTCTCCCTAATAATGGGCGTGCCGAACGCAATGCATTAACACTCATGACACTAGGCCTAGCCTACTCGATGATTGATCATTTCCTTGATGATTCTGTCATGCATGTTACTCAGTGTTAGATGTACTGAAACAAAATAAACCATAGAAACTGAAAGAGTTTCACCATTCCTATTTTGTCAAGAATAGCCTGATCCAAGTGATTGGCTCAGCCTCAGGCACTTTCTGGAGTGATGTTTGTTCTCAGCCTCAGGCACTTTCTGGAGTGATGTTTGTTCTGCCTGCCGCGCGCGGTGTCGGACGCAAATGAGAGTTGCCGACCTTTCCGTGACCCTCTCGTCTTAAAACCAAACAGTATTGTGTGGGGTAAAATCACCAGGGACATACCTCAAAGTTGGGGCTACGGGTTCTTCAGATGTTTCAATTTCTAACACAAGATTTTCGGCGTGACTTTCGGCTGCCTCTTCCTTCACCATCGTGGTAAAGGCAACGGCCAAAGTCGCTTTCTTCCACAGATCCGCCATGATGATGGTGTTGTTAAATAGCGCCCTCTGTTCAGACATTTTATTTTATGTGATTTGTTTTATTTGAAGGTGGGCGGAACCTTGAAAGTTGAAGTTACGTAACATCCTTTTCACGCATAAGAAACATAATATTCCGATGCGATACCTGCACCAAGTATTTCTACTCTTGTACATTTAGTGGACACCATTCAAACCTTAACTTGGGCTACATACGACGAGAAGTGTAGACGCGTCAGTGGAAAAACCCCTAAAGTTAAAACAAATATACCCTTTTCTATACTTGTGGTTTGTTTAATTTCCAGTGTCTGCCTTTACCACTTTTCCTCAACTTTTTGCCAGAGAGGTGGGCAATTCATCCCATATTTTTCTTTATTTTTTCCCAATTCTTTGAATTTTTTTGTCTCTTTGTTTTGTTGTTGTGTTTTGGGGGGTTTGTTTTTCGCAACCGAGCTTTGAAACAGACTGTCAACTCCTCAGTGCACGACGTCCTAGTGGGACAATAATTGCAGCTAGTTGTAACATCGGTATTTGCTTGTACCTTCAAATGCATCAGACCAGAGACAAATCTAGACCCAAAGATGTGAGGGCCAAGTTCCATTATACATGGAGATCAATGATGCCATTCTAGTTAGGCGCAGACATTTTGAATCCACGTGCGTGCTTGCCTTTGTACAACATTAAAAATCTGAGATAGAATGGATATCGAATTATGTATTCTAAATGCATCTCGCAAGTACAACATTGGCGTCGTTTGAATAAGATGCACACGTACAAAAAGCAATGGCACATGTTTATTAACAACCATAGCTGATTGTTTTAAAACTAATGTTTCCTGACATTCGAACAAGATCGTCCACTTTCGTATGCAGTTCTTTCAAAGGCTGCCTTTTGATGAATAAGTTCAGATAATTTTTTTTTCAGTGTTGAGTTGACGGCCCTGGAGCATATGCATGCAGCAGCTGTCGGCGCGCGGGTCCGTCGGGTCCGGGTACCGATAACATCCGATAAAAAGTCACGGAAAAATTCGATGCAGCGCGTACGCGCACATGTCTAGTTTGGTTGTTGTTTGTTTGTTTGTTTTTTTTTTGCGTTATTTCTCTTTAATGCAATAAAGTGGATAGGTTTCTTTGAATGGGGCGACAGGAGAGTTCTGAATTACTTAGAGGATGAACGGTGCAAAAAGTCGTCACGGTTAGATTGACCCGCGTGGTCAACAGTATAATCAGGAAATGTGTATGTGTGTCTTGAACAATGAAAGCTGTCTTTGTCCCTTTTAGTTCACGAAAGCATTTCAAAATAATTTTCAACCGCTCTTACAGTTTAGATTATTCGTTGGGTGTTCAATCAAAGAATTTTTCCTGTGATCTGGGGCCCTCACTAGTGAAGTCAAGGTGAACTTGAATTTGGAGTCCAGATTATGCATCTATTGGGGGCGCTGTTCACGTTTAACAGAGGCTTCAATCGATCGCGGCATTCGTGCTGTACTTTTACACATACCGCTAGCGCTCAGATGTGGTGGATATCGAGGTGATGCGACAGAGCACTGCAAAAAGACGTATCTGCGGAAGACGCATCTGTTTGTCTTTTTAAATTGCCTTTGGTGAATGCTGCCGTCTCAAGATAATCGTTTCACCACAACAATTCTTTTCAGTGTATTTTTGATAAGTTATGCAAAAATGGTGCATTAAATTGTCTTTCCGGGTTCGAAACCTATCAAGACAAGAAACAAAGTCATTGCCTACCGTAGTTTACAATCAAAACAAAACTGTTATAAGAATGAGTTCACTTTATAGTAAATAGAAAAAAGGGCCTACAAGTCATTGAACTCTCTTCTCCCCCGCCTCCTTCAGTCTTCAACATAAAGTTCAGTACTGTAGTCAATTTACATGCTAAACCTGGTTCATTTTTGCCAAAGCAGAGAAACTGTTGTGTCCAACCAAACGCGAAAACCTGGCCAGGTATGTGACCACCCTGGACGTCCCCGGACCGTGTCTGGCACCAAAACCATGAGCAACGGTAACGCATTGATATACTGTACTTGTAGGACATTTTCAGCGAAGCTTTTTATGCACCGTCAACTGTTCTTTCTCAGTGCTCCATGTAATTTGGCGTTTGCGCAGTTCGCTTGCGGGAAGCCTGAATCTGAATGCACAGTCGACACACAACCTGTATCTTAAATAGGCGTGTTATGTAAAGAACATTTTCGCAAGTAAACCACCTTAGGGAGACGTTTTATCGTACCGGAGTTTGTGCGTGCGAGAAGGAAGCCAGTAGCTGTATGAAAGTGGACCTTTTGGTGTTTCCCACGAAATGCAACGCGCGTAAACACTTGTAGTCTGGTCCCCCACGAAGCGTTTTAAATACACTGTGAAGATGTATTATGGTGTGTGACACCACTATAATCAATACACTACAAACAGTGCCCAGTTCTCACACGCCCGTTTTCATCTTGCCTGCTGACGGAAGCTGAACTTGGGCCGCCAAAATGTCCGTTAGTTTTTTAAAACACAAAGATGCCCTGGTGACAGCCTGGAATGATGTGTCTAATGAAAATTCCTCGACTGACTGGTAAGGGCGCTCGGGTTATTATGTTCACGATGTGCACATGAAGTTGAGAAAAAAATGTAATTTGTAAAATTGTTGTAGCGTACTGTACGTGTGTGACATCTGAGAGCTTGCATTTCCGGGTTCTTGAAGAATCGACGATCACTAATTATGTAGCCTTATACATCATGTAGGGCTTGAATTTCAGATCAAAATCTTCCCTGCTTAGACTGAAAACTCTACTGTAGCATAAGTTAACAGTTTACCAGAAAAAAACGATTGTCATGATTGCTAAACCATGGCTAAACAAAACATTAAACAGTCAGGCATGACGTCAGGACACCTCATCCAGTAAAAGAAGCATTTGAGTTGAAAGTTTTTCCTGTTAACTGTTAGGCTAACCCAAAACACAGTTCCCTTTCGATTTCATGTTTTTTATACATTTAGTATTATTTTAATTATTATTTATTCATGCCAATTTTCATCACATACAAGCATGACAAGATGGGCATTGGAGAGGCAAAAGCCAAAAGCGATAACAATCACTGTGGCCAAAGACCTGCCACTCCACATCAAATTGTGTATAGAGTAAACAGATATAAATAAACACACTAATATATGTTTGAAGCCAAAAGTATGAATTTAAAAAAATGTAAATATAAAAAGGAAAGGAATTACTGGAAATGAAGAAAGATAATGTAAGCAACTACATATGAAATTAAATAAGTTAAAAGTAATTAATGGTAATGACACAGTAAATAAGGGCATAATAAATAGCTTAAATACAAAATAATACATGTGTAAGAAGCAGTACCTGTAGTAAATGTATGATTTATTCCACATTTTGCTTGCTCAAAATGTGGTATTATTTCAGGCTGCAAATACTGACTTTTTGAAAGAAGATTCCAGAAAAATAGTCCGTTACTAATTTGGACTGTAGAATTCTCGCCCTTGGACCTTTGTCATGACATTAATTCACTTTGTGCATTGTCACATTTTCAATGCTCTGATACTATCATTGGGTGATATTTGCTACAATGGCCAGCTGGCCTTATCCAAATGAAAGCTGAGCTGTGATTGGTCATTGGAATGGCAGGAGTTGCAGCAGTCACAATGCAGCTTTCATCTGTGGGTGACCGGAAAACAGAAGGAAAAAATAAGAGTTGTGTTGCTGTTGGTCAAGCTATCACACATCTGGCAGTTACTGAGGGTACATGCTGCTGATTTTCTGTCGTGTGGATAGGCAAAATGCTCAAGAATTTCAATAGTTTAATGAGGATATAAGGTGAATAAACCTCCCCATCTGACATCCAACTTCACCAAGAAGACATGTGTGAAATTTGGTTGCACAAATGGGTGTGATGGAAGGGCAAGTTGGCACAATCAAAACAGCCATAATGTGTTTATGGGGTTTCGTACATGGCTATCTGTGAGGTTTGTATGAACCTTACAGTTCTGGAAGTAGTCAACCGCAGTGGACTACGTCGAGGGTCTGTGTGTGTACCTGTACGGTACAAACTCTGTGAGGATCACCCAACCGTGTGGACCATGTGGATGAGTATATGTACATGTCACATGGTAATCTGATGAATGTACATGTAGTTAGGCCCTAAATGTCCTCTCTGCATTTTGACACAGGGAATTGCTGTGCATGAGATGTCATCCGGTGTGAAGTGCTTAATTGATACACTATCTTTGCTAAACTTTAACATGGTGTGGTTTTGTAGCAGTCTGGAGCCTTGTGTGCACTTTACTCATGAATTTGTTCTTTTTGTTTAAACAGGGCAGTATTTGGATATGATGGAAAGAGCTTTGAGCTGAAAGTGGTAGACACTGGGGGTAAGATTGTATATACTATGGTTAACTATAGTTTGGACTGTCCCAACTATAGTGGACAGTTCCAGTTACAGTGCTGCGGTTGGGCTGACCCAACTACATGTACTGTTGATCAATTTCTATAGAAAATTTCTCAACTGACAAAATTTATGCATCTTCCACCTGACACAATTCATCTAAAATATGGCACTTTATGACATGACACTGTGAACAATATGGCTTGGGAACATGCCGGGCACATGTACACTCAGTCTGGACCTCTGTGCTGTACTAGGTGGGCCGGCCCAACTATAGCACTCTAGTTGGGACGGTCCCAACTATAGTTGGGACTGATGCTACGTGTATAGTTGGGGCGTAATATAGTCAATCAGGAAATTGAATTCAACACAAATCACATCTACAGGTTGCATCAACACCAATATTTGTGATGTTCTCGACCAAATGCACTGAGTGACACCTCTATGGCATCATCAGCCTTTGACGAATTTCAGCCTTTTGCGTTGTTTTCAAATTCGTCATAAATGTCCTGATATCTGAATACTTTAGTCCAATTAACTGAATGTGAAAAAGAAATGGTTTGATGAAGAGAGAAACCCAGGATGACCTATCTACAGGTACTTAAAAAAATGTGTCCCTCTCTCGATGTTCCAGTTATACATGTATATGTGTGCTGAAGACCCTTGTGGCAGCCCAGTGCATCAAGGGCCCACACAGGGATGCAAATTTGGCTTTGTTTTTCAAACTTAAGATAACTTACAAACCGGTCATGTTGAGACTAGGGGAGCTACATGTAGTCTCATTGAAGAATGCCACTGTTGGATCTTGTGGTGACTGGCAACCACAGACTCCCAGGCTGTTTGGCCTTGGGGAGAGTTGACCTGTTGGATCCTGTTACACTGGGCAGGCAAGCAACTTTGACAAATGATGCAGACTGATATGTCTGGCAGGGTTTTCAGCCAAAGTACCCAGTAGGGTTAGGGTTAAGGTGGTTTTTTTTTTACATATGCACGTGTTTGTACCTGAAATATCAGGGCGAGAATTCCCCATATCCCTCGGATTTGCCAGCCCTTTTACACCTTGTCGCACTGAGCAGGGTCAGGGCTGAGAGAGGAGGTTGGCTCACATGTATCACTTGATTGCATTCATGGGCATGTCCTATTCAGAAGATGGACTGGAGGAGATGGTGGACAGCCTGAGTGGCAGCAAGATCCTGTATGCCTACTGTCGTGTCCTGGACCCCAACACCAACCTGCCCAAGTTTGTTCTGATCAACTGGGTAGGTGCATGCGCATACATGTGACACAAAACCAATACCTTGAAGTTTGACTTTTATTATATTCGAAAACCAGTGGATTTGCCCACTGGCGTCTCCTTAGGTTCATCTGCATCTCTGCGGGCCTCAAGTCAAAAGCAGCCTCTACCCTGCGACCGCAAGCCCCGATCGCATTTTGTCTTGTCCTTGAGAGATCTCGAGTTTGTGACATTACAAACGATGATGGGATTTTATGTAATTATAATCTCGATTATGGCTTTGTCAGGTAATAATCATGTTCATATTTGTATCTGCACTCCGATGATGCATCTTGACTAGATGGTCAATCCACTCAGATTTCATGAAATTTAAAGTGCATATCTCAGGGGCTAGGGTACAGTTTTGGCATGTGGTAAGTGATGAGTATTCCAACAGAACGCTGTGCGTAATCAAAGCCTGCCTCAGGATACATGTAACACACATACCCGTATGTATGTAAAGATTTACCAGGTTTCAGATTTCAAACAGGAAGTGTCCTGCTCTTAATTCTTACCACATAGGCATTTAATGTCTTAACGAGTGGTGCATTTTCTGACAACAATTACTGGGAGGATTTATAGAAAATGCAGCGTTCTTTTACACTGAAGAGAATAAAGCTTTCTTCCCCAAATTACTGCAAACAAATCCAAGTTTTTTGGAAAACCCATCGCAATGCTATTTTGTCTCTGAAGTCATTATGAAGGCTTACATGAATGTTTAATTTCTCTTCTCCATGGTGTCAGCAAGGAGAGGGGGCACCGACTGAAATGAAGGGGAAGTGCTCCAGGCACACGGCTGATGTTGCCAAGCAGTTCAGGGTAAGTCTCTCAGCTAATGTTGTCACTGCTTTATTTGGCACTCTCTCCTTACGGTAATTGTTCAGAGTGAGATACACTTATGTCTTATGGCAAAATCTTTCAATGAATGACCCGAATTGTCCCCGAGTGTGGCTGTTGTATCCCTTAGGAAGTATTACAAGGATTTGATTTTTCAGGATTATTTTCCTCAATTTCAGCATTTCTACCTGGAAATTGTGATCTTTTGGAGATTTAATTAGTTACATTTTGATACTTGTTAGCACTTTTGAAAATAAACACCAAGCATAAGATTCATTTACTTATGACCATTTGGGAGATAACTCCAGCCTTGCTAACTGTTTGAAAGACTTGAAGCGTCACAGTTTTAAGTATTGTCTTTGATGTAACCCCACTGCTGGATATTCCCTGATTCTCTTCTTTATCACCTAATCTCACCCCTGGTGTCAAAATGTTTTTCCTTGGTTAGTGCTAGTACCCTCCTTTTTTTAATCCGCACCCTCCCAGGGAGCCCACGTGACCATCAACGCCCGCACAGAGGATGATGTGGAGCCCGAGGACATCCTCAAGAAAGTGGCCAAGGCCTCGGGCTCCAACTACAGCTTCCACAAGGAGAAGGCCGCCCCCCAGCCGGAGATTGGCCCTGTGGGCTCGGTCTACAAGCGAACCAATCCGCAGGCCGAGATCAAGTCGCAGAGGAGCGACAAGTTCTGGTCCCAGACAGAGGTATCGAGGGCCATTATTGGCTGATGTAGTCTCGATATGAGTCACCACTTGGAGTTATGATTTTTTTTGATAACCAAAAAGCTATTTGCAAGTTAAATTGAGTAGTATCCATTACCCCTGGTTTTAGCAATTGTTTTTGTGTAATCGTATTAGAATTCCCCAGACTAATACACCGTTGTTATTTTTGGGCAAGCTGTTGCTGAATTATGTAAGAGATAATTGGCTCTCTTTTTATTTCATGGGTAAGAGACTGTCGCAGAGACTCTGAACCACTGCAGAGCAGTTGGTTACTTGTGTAAAGCTAGCCCAAGTCATGCAGTATAGCCAAAGTTGATTGTTGTTGGGAATTCTCACGTGATAATGAAAGCCTAATTGTGAAACCAAAGAGTGCATTTGATGTAACCGTTGACCCCTCCAGCCGTCAGCCCTCCAATTTCAATAAGATTTTTTAAACACCCTAGGGGTTAGAAGTACATGTATTTTTGACCGATGCACAGTGTTTTCGCAACAGTTGATAAAGTGAGAAGCATGCCCAATGTTGCAGGATCCAACAGGTCAACATTCTCAAGACCAAACAGAAAGTTGTAGCCTGCCAGTGCTGGCTTTGACACTGGATTGGCAGATCCATCCTTAGAAACAGTTGTTCGCGGTACCTGCTGCTACATCTGACCGGCAAGCTTGGTGGTCGAGTGGTTAAGATGTATGCACTAGTAAGCAGGAAGTTGTGGGTTCGAGTCCCACCCGAGTATGCTTGTGTTTATTTTCACAAGCTTTGGGGGGAAACACTGAGAGTACAGTCTTGTAACACACATCGGGCAGGGCAAAAATCCAAAATTAAATTAACACCTCCCTGACGGCAATCCATCCTTAGAAGAATAGCAGAAGTCGTAAAGATAAGGGACCTGATCTCACAAAGTGCCTTTCCCACTCAGCCTTGGTGTATACAGCACCTTGCAACCATTCCAGGTGCAGCATTCAGCATAGTGGCCCGATCTTTACAGGTGTTGCACAGCTCTGAGTGCAGTGATGCACTGTGCAATATCGGAATGCACTCGAGTGAGGTGTGCAAAGAGTTTGCAGAGCAGCTTTGTGAATCGTGCCAATATATCCCATCAAACTCTGGCAGTGCCCTAGCTGGACCAAGAGAAGGCAATAGCGACGGAGGCTCCATTGGTTGGAACTGCACTTTGCTGGTTCACTAAGGACTGGGAAATGCACGCATCATGGTCGCGTTGCTACCAGCAAAATGAACACTCCTGACCAACATGATTCTTTTCAACCGATGAGGGGGCACATCTGCTTGAGGCAGATTGTTTTGTTGCGGTTACCATGGTCACTAAAGTAACAAATAAATGAGTTGAGATTTTTCCTGTTGAGCTAGTTGTTGACAAGGGACCCTCAAAGTAAAATACGCATGACAGAAACAGTATTTTAAATCAGGCTTCAAAAGTTGAACCTGAATTTAAAAAAAAATAGAACAGTAACAAGCGTAAAAAAGAGAAATGAACAAGAGAATTTGTTGCCATCCTGTTGAGCAGCAAGAGGAGAAACGACGCCAAACTGAAGAGAAGGCCAGGAAAGCAGCCGAAGTGGAGAAGTTGGAGAGGGAAAGACGAGACAGGGAAGAGAGGGAGGCTCAAGAAAGAGATCGGAAGGTGACGGAAAAGATGCGATCTGTCGATCAGCAAAAGTGAGTAGACTCTTGACAAACTCTGAAACTGACCACTGCTTTTGGACCAGAGTGCTGACTGTGGTACACACAGAACTGCTGGAAATGTTTATATTCTGCACTCGTCAATTTCCATTTCTTTGCCAGCCAGCAACCTTTTCTCACAACCGATTTCAAAGAGCCAAATTTGGGGTTTGCAATTTTGAGCCTAAAACATGCAAACTGAACAGTGTCTTCCCTGATGAACATCACAGCAAAATTGCCCTTGCTCCTCCAGAAAAGTGTAGACAATTTGTAATGTTTAAAAAGTGCACTCTAAGTACACTTAACTCCAAAAGGGATTTGATGGACAAGAATGTGAGTCAAGAATTCATTAGAGCATGTTTCTTTAATTATCCTATCTTCAAAGGGTACAGGAAAAGCGCGCCCTAGAACAGCAAAGACAAGAAGAACAGGCCAGATGGGTAAGAATATAGTACATTAGAAAGTGCACGTAGTTATAGTAATACCATTGGGCCCACCCAAAAAGTGTTCAGTGTAGCCGTTAATATTTATACTAATAACTGGTGCCAGAGTTCAGATTATTCCGAGATGACATCCGTATTTGAAATGCAGCCTGTTTTTTTTTTATTGAAGACATACTTCAATGCACCCTCTTGTCGCAGGTTTTGGAGGGAAAACTAGTTGAGACTAGCTTTTAGGAATAGATAAAGTCTATGTGAAATTCTGCAGCCTTAGCCAGTATTCATTATGCTGAATGTTTGATGCATTGGTGTTGGGTTTGACAAGGTTTTACTGTAAGTGTACCCATTCCTTGTGTAAAAGCATCATCAAGAAATTTATCCAGCATACAGTCCAGTTGATCTGTTGTCAAGTTTTGCCTGTGCGTTAGCCCAGTCCTTGTGGCAGGTTGGTGGAACCTCTCTAGAAACAGAGACGGGACTGTGAGGGACGGAGGTTGCTTCAGATTTTGAGTGAACATGGTGAATGGCCCTTTTTTCCCCAGGAGAATAAGCAAAGGCAGATGGAGGCTGAAACCTCACCCACCAGGCGACCGGACCGCACCAAGGTAATATGAAGCAGGCATGCCAGTTTTCAGGCAAAAGCCCGATTTCAGGCTTTTGAAATTTCAGGCTCTTGAATTGTCAGGCCAATTTCAGGTCCAAACAAAGTATGGTTTTTTAGGCTTCTGTGGGCTTCACTGTGGGCTCTTGACAAGTGTCTGGTTGGTATCCCTGATGAAGATGTTGAACTGCCCTCCAAGTGTATCCGAAGGTGCAGTCAGTTCGACTAATTAATTATGTAAATATTCCACCTCAATCCAATACTTGGTTGCATTGCACATTTTCAGTCAGCAAAGCCTCTAGAGAAACAATTTTTTGTTACACCGAATAACTATAGTCATTACGATAATGGAGGAGCAGTTGGTACCTTAAAATGGAAATTCCCTTTTGTATCATGCTTTATGACATCACAGTTTTTACTCATGAATATGGAAATCTCATCAGTATAAAAACCAAAAAGGTGTTAAAATACCCTTTGAAATAGTGAAACCACAGTTGAAAATAAAATTACTTAGGCACAAAAGTGCATTTTACAGGTTTGTAATGAACAAAATTGATTGCGACTACCTTGTACGTCAAAAGAGACTGATTAGATTGTTGGACACGTTTCACATCACTACATCGCCTTCTGTCGTGAGATAATGTTATGCGCTGTTTTTCACAAAGCCATGGTGTGTTATTGAGCATTGTTTGCTATGTGCTTATTGTGACAGAATAATGACATTTATTAATTGTTGACCGCTGTGGTGTGGAATATGACATTGTGAACATTCGAAGGACGCATAGCACCTTGTTCCAAAGAAACAAGCTCTGAATTTCAGAAGACGATGGGCCTACTGTAAAACTGCACAATTAAAGTGCGTAAAAGATATCGTTTGCAAATGCACTGCCCCCTCCCTTTTGCTAATTGTGTAAATGCTAATGTGAAACTAGTGTTGGTACCAGTGAGTACATTTATATAGTCTGGTTAGCGGTCCCCACATTACCTTATACACTGAGGGGACGGAAACGAGTCTGTTATACAAGCGCAATCATTGATTGAATTCCCTGGTAGCTAACGCACAAAACGTATAATGGGTACCACGCAAAACTGACTACAGGATTGCCAATGTTCGTTCTCGAACTTCCCGAAGATCTTCTGAGAATGAGATGTCTCACGTTGAGCGTGATATTAGGATATGTCTTTCTGTCATGTGATCATTCTGGGCCAATAAATGGACAGTATCCAAGACAGAGGTATGACAATTAAAAATGTTACTTACAAAAGCTTCTGCCAACTGCTTGCTGGCTACAGTGACCACAAATACAATCTACGAGGGCCTGATGTTTCAATCCCAGCAAAATATTTCTGAAAGGATTGTCCCTTTAGAAAGATTCTGTTATGATTGAAGTGGCAGACCTTCTGAAGTAATATTGGTTCATTTTGTCGAATCATTGGAATTGATGATTGAAGACGAGTATTTTTGGTTAGTATTTTGTCTTCCTTTTGCCCTTCAGAATAATGGACAGCCTTGACATTAATTTTTGTCATTGATATTTTGGGGGCAATAGGAGGCAGCGGCAATGATCGCCCAGCGAAGTGAAAACCCTCGGGCCACATTTGAACAGAGGGGGTCTGCCGGCCCGCCAGCCCCGGCTTCCCGTCCCTCGAGGGCCCCACCCAAGGAACCAGAACCCGAGCCTGAACCTGAGCCCCAGTACGAACTGGAACCAGAGCCGGAGCCGGAGCCAGAACCGCAGTACGAGCCCGAGCCAATTTACCAGCCAGAACCAGAACCCCAATTGGAACCAGAACCGGAACCAGAACCGGAACCAGAACCTGAGTATGAGCCCCAACCAGAGCCGGAACCCATTTACGAGCCAGAGCCCCAGCATGGTAATGCATTTTAATTTCTTCTTCTTGTGCTGTAGTCAGGTACTTTCCTAGTAGTTTTTATTATTTGTTGGGAACTCTGTCATAGATACACTGGCAGTAGAAATCAGTATAAGAGTAAAAAAAGAAAAAAACAGGGACTTCGGATAAATAATAAATCTTATTTCCCAGTAACTTTTGGAATGTAATTATTCAAAATACCTTCACTGGAAAACTTTGGCCCCTCAAAACATTCCAATCATCCAAAGTTCTTATTTTTTCATCCAGTTACATGTATCCTAAATGATTTAATTCAAGTTTAGCATATTTGGTACATTGCCCAGAGCCTCCACCAATGGACAGTTATGATGATCAACCAGCAGGAGAAGAAACAAGCGGTGGACTGACCGCCAAGGCTCTGTACGACTATCAAGCAGGTAGGCAAAGAAATATGCAAGGTGAAAGTCGCTCCCACCTAGCCTCAGAAACAGGCTCAGAATCAAATCAGAAAGAAATGCTCCTCACTTTGGTGGCTCCTGGCTAACTTGCCTGGTATCACATCATCATTGTTGTGGTCCACACCATCACAAGACGCGGGACCAGTCACCAGGAACAGGGGGAGACAATAACAAGAGGAGTACTTTTGTCAGAGTTTGTTTCAAGTTTCAAGAGCTTGCGAGTTGCATTTGGAGTGGATATCCAGGGATTGTCAATCTGGCCGGTAAAGAAAACTTCGATGAAATTATTCTGGCCACAGTCATCAAGGAAACATGGGACTTTAAAATGGTGTTGCTAGGCTATCAACTTAGAGCTTTATGGCTATCAACTACATGTTCATGTAACCAGTCTAATGGTGGGTATTACGTACACCACTTGTTAGAATGGATAGTGTATGTGTCTGTGCCGTTACCTCACATGTAGTATGCTCTTTTGTTGTATTCGCTCACAGTGAAATCTGGTGTCGTGACAAATTGTGCACTGAGTTTTCCTGTTTCTTTGAAATGTCAGAGTTTTCGGACATTCCAAGTGCTTCTGATCATGTTGTCATGAAGCATGCAAGTATGACACGCCCTGTGGGGCTTTGCAGTGTGAATGACCTCAACGGTGCTTCATGTGAAATATCTGTGGCTTGTATGTTTCGAAGTCAAAGATGGCTGATCATTTTTGAAATGAAAATCATGAAGTCCTGGGTTTTCATCAGGCTATTGATTCATTGCTCTCACTTTTTTGTGATGAAAACAAAAATGCAGATTGTGAAGAATTTTTCAAACTTCCCAACAATAAAATGTATTCAAAAGAACTGAAACCGGGGAAAGAGTGTAAAATCTTCAACTCTGGCATTTTGTTGTAAGGTTAAGGGGTTAAGTATTTACATCTGTATCATGAACAGTGCCCTCTAGTGTCATGTGGTGTCCAACAACCTACGCCTTTTGAATTTCTACTGCAAGGCAGTTTCATCCCCCGTTTCCCCCTAGTCCCCATCCATCAGTCGGTAGCACAGATTACGCCACTGGTTCTTCTCATGCCAAGCCCTCTCCCCTTTTTTTACTGCAATTCTCGATCTCCTGCACATAACAACCCACGAGTCCTGAAGTAAGGTTCTGTTCAACTTTCTCTTTCAGCGGATGACACGGAGATATCTTTTGACCCTGACGACCTCATCACGAACATAGAGACCATTGACCCAGGCTGGTGGCGGGGCACCGGGCCCGACGGCTCGCACGGACTCTTCCCAGCCAACTATGTGGAGCTCATTGAGTAATCACCCTTTAAAATGCAGACTGGTGCCTTACCATCCGTACTATGCTGTAATCATAGATCAGAGTTGTAGTCGAGTACATCACATGTAGTACCGAGTACCAAGCTCACTGCATGAAGCTGTATTAAAGCTAGTACTGGCTCCTCATTTCCTGTGCAAAGAAACCTTGGCCTGACCTGAGCACAGGCGTTCTGAATTAGTGTGTAGTTTATAGAGCATAATGACATAAGATGGAACAAAGTTTGCATAATGGTCCCTCAACACAACCTATCAGCAGCATCCTTATGATTTACATGTAATTTATGCCTTAGCAAAATTCATCTGCAGTGTACATGTGCATGCGTTTTCATCCTTACGAAATCGTGCCGTGTGGTTACTTGGCTTTTGGCATATCAACTGTGTTACATTGATGCATCATTTTAGAATGCAGGGGCAGATGTGCGAATAGCTGCTTGATAGCCGTGCAAAATGTCAAGTCTTTCATAGGTTTGTACCCAAACATGGATGTGCCCAACATCATCAAGGCTTCATTTTACATGGAAAGTTAGTGCTCCTGTAATTTAGTAAAGCTCCATAGTTGACTGCCAGATATTGAGAGATATTTTGGTGTTGCCTTGGCTGAATAGCACATACATACACTTGGTATGAAATACTTGCCACAAGAAGTTCAAGTCTTTGCACAGTTAACTTGTAGGAATCAAACAACTTGGGGAACCAAAATTTGCTGAACGTACTCACTGAGTTCTTTGTAAGACGGAAAGTCCCCTTATATTTCCGTCCTCCTCCATTTTTCACCATGTTGGCAGCTCACAATTCAATATGTGGCAGTGGGAAAAGGTACTCGGAAAGCTCCGGACTACAACTGTGTCTTGACAATTTTAGTTCTCAAGAATGGCAGAAGAACTGTAATGGAATCAAGTTTGATCAAGGCATACGACTGCATTAAATTCTTCTCTCCTGTACTTAGAGTACTGGGCATACTTTTCTATTTCGTGTTTATTTCCAATATAATCCGGTTCGTAAGTGACTTTGTCATATATACGGATGCACCGCTGATTGCAGGCTCCCATTGTATGAACACTCAAGATGTATGTTAACTGCCAGTTGCACGGTACAGTGTAACTCTATGTGCAGTGGCCGTGGTTTAAACTGAAATGACCGCACACTTACAAATCGGGTAAGACAGAGTGGTACATGTACTCTGATAGGCCAATCCATTGAGCTCTGCCTCGTGGCATGCTGACCTATCACACCCATGCTTCATATCGTTGCCGTTTTTACGAAGAGACATTTTTGCCCCAAATCATGATTTTTTCAAATTTCTGGGTTTTTTTTTGGCAAAATTAAATAGGCTTTTCCATGCCTACATCTTGGTGTAAATAATTTTTACCAAATCTACCGAGATCAGCCAAATCACAGAGATCTACATGTACCTTGGGCAAAATTCAACTAAAGTGCATTTTTGCATTTTCATAAAGAGGCGAGTTTGTCTTCCATAGATATAGTGTTGGCAATAAAGGGCAAATTCACAGGCAAACTCATAGTTGTTTCGCCATTTTCACAAAGAAGCGAATTTGACGATAGAAATGTATACAAATGTAACAATTTTGCACCTGGCATGCGCTAAAGCAAAATAGCACGTGTTTTCATGAATAGACAAAAGTCGCATAAATATTAGCATTTTCACGAAGATGCAAATTAGTTTGTTTACAAAATAAACAATTTGTATTGTCTTCTATAAGTATCATTTGGTAGTTTTGGTCATTTAAGATCCCCTCTTTCGTGCAGTAGCATCGTTTAAGTCAAAGGCATGCTAAATACTCAGAAACAAGTGTTGGAAAAAGAGACCAACTTCAAATGCGATTTTCTCGAAACCTAGATTTTACTCTACTCCCAGGTGAGAAATTTGCTTCTTCGTGAAAGTGGTGACGATATGTTGGACCCAAATGCACAAAACGTTCAACGTGAATGCACATGTGAGTGAGGCATGCTGCTGGAACATCTAATGTAGCACTGGAGAGGAACAATTGTTGATCGTCCAGGCACAGCATGTGTAGTAGGCGAGGAATTGGTCTATGAATGCGCTATATATGCAGTATTTGAGTCAAACAGATTTTGAGAATAATTATCCAATAAGAACACACCACAGAAAAAATCCTTTGCATACAAAGTTGTGTTTGCCAGGAGTGAACATGGGGCTGCAGCGTACTAATTTCAGTAACACATTGTCATGAATAGGTATGAGGAACATCAATGATACATGCAGCTTGACGATTGCCATTTGCCATCTGGCTTGTATGAATCTGACCTCTGCGTTCCATTTTTATGCCGAGTTTAGTGCTATACTGTGTAGTTTTAAAATTACTGTGGATTGACAGCACAATGGGGATCACAGTTGCATGCACACACAAACGTGAACTTGTGAAGATGTTCCATATCATATCTGCTCAGAAGATGAACATCGGCCATCAGTTCTACTTGTACATCTACATTCGCTCATGCTGATTGGATGTCTATTTCTCTGTGCACTGAACTCATGCCATGTCCTTCACAAGTTCTTTAATCCTTGGCAACAACAGGTCTGGCCCAAGTCAAAAAGGTTCATGTACTCTCTACAGCTGGTGTTTGTTTCAATATTGTAGGCTAAGTTACCATGGTTCCAGAACTTTTCCTCTGCCATGATAGAAAGCAGCAATATCAGATGCAACAAAAGGGGGAAATTAATACCAAAATTTCATGATGGACTCTTTGTATGAAACTCCTATTTGTAAAGAATTTATTATAAAAAGGACCCAGACTAAAGGTGCTTGTTAAATGGAGGGCAAGAGTTGATGGGGGGGGGGGATTGCAGGCTCCACACTTATCATACATGTGCTTGGGATGTCATACATTATTAGGCGTTTTTGAAGAAGACATTAATCCTGAAAAGTGAATGTTGATTGATAGAGTTAGCAGTGTTGTTTTTGAGTCCATCACAAGTCCCTGCAAGTCCACAAGAAGTTCTTTAGTCTTTTATTACAAAAAAATGTAAATCGTTTTGCGTCAATATTTGTTAGTTTGGCAAGCCCCTTGACAAGAATTCTTTCCTTTTGGAAATTCTTCTGGAGCTAATTAGATAATTGGTAACTTTTGTCCCAATCATATGTTCTTTGTGTTTGCTATATTTCCCGAGAAATGAAATAAATAAATAAATAAATAAATAAATAAATAAATAAATAGAATAAATAAACAAAAATAAATAGAATAAATAAACAAGTAAGCAAAGTCACAAACTATTCAAGTGAACATTGATAAAAGCATTCCTTTGTCATATCATTCACCCAGGAATATTTACTCACAAATGTCTGACTGGCTTTGTGATTGGACTTGTGATTTGACTTGTCATAGGCCTTGTGAAAGGACTTGTGATGGACTCAACTACAACACATAAAGAGTTAGATTTTGATTCGCTTGGTTTATTTAATGAGAATATTAATTAGAATCATGATGATATACTCTGAAACATTCCACTGATGCATCTGACCATCCGAATGATTATTTCACATTCAAAGTTTGCCCATTTAGCAATCTTTTTACAAGCTCAAAAATAGCATTACAATTTAACAAAGTGTATCAAACTACATTGAAGCTGATAACTACTTGAAATATTCTTTATTTTTTATATAATAATGTTTTGATTTGAAGCCTGAAGTTGGTGGTAGATATACCTGTGTATGCTATATCGCAGTAGTTTCAAGACACATGTTTTTCTTTCCTTTGAACTGAAGTATGACCATTTGCTAGAGTGTAAAGCTTAGAACAGTTCAACTACACCAATCTGCGGGGGGGTGGCTCTTGTGTTAAAATAGGCTTTCGGTCAAAATTGTGCTTTATGAAGATCAGCTGAGGGGCCCAAAGGGGAGGGGTGTGCTTGCTGGAGGCCCCCCTCCCTGGGAGTTGCTGGCCCCCGGTTGGCAAAAACCTTAAGCAGCAAAATAGTTTCATTGTTCTTGTGACGTATCTCCCGTAGCTGGTACCATATATGACCTCCAATGCCTGAAGTTGGAAAGGGGGCTGATAAGGCGAAACAATTTTCTATATATGTAGATCAGATCAAGAGTTAAACCCAAACTTATTTTTAATTGTTTATAACCATCAACAAGCATGAGGCGTTCAGTGATTAAAAATACGTTAGTTTAATATTAAATTTAATCGATGAAAGAATTTCAGTCTATTTTCATCTGTTTAATCCACATACTTTGCACTTCATTTTATATCGATACCAAATGTTATGCCAGCTCATCAGTTTGTACATCTTGGAGTAATAAAAACTGCATTAAAGTATAATTACCTTGTTTTATGACATGCTTTGAAGTTCTTTGTGTTGGTATAGACTCTAATATTTTATTTAACCTTTGTTGACAACAAAGTTCCGTTACTGATGTCAAATCAACGGAACATAGGACCTATCGACTACAAGTAGGTAAATCTTTATAGAGTTTTACTATCTTAGTCACACGAAAAGCACGGGGAGTGAAAACAAATGTGCATAGACAAGCAGTAGGTATGATATCGCCGGACGTGAAATGTCGTTGATGGAAATAAGTCGTTTTGTTTACCCATCTCCAGGTCACTTTTCCTATTGACTGAGAAAGAGAATGAGAAAAGTTTAATTCCAACATGGGTGTTTCATGGGGTGGTTTCAGTTAAAAATTTTTCTTCCATAAAATGTTTGAACGTGATAGGAAGGCTCAATGTAGTAAAACCCCCATAGGTGGACCGCGCGAGGGTTCCAGAAGCTTGCTGCGAGACCTTTTACTTTCAGTGTCTATTCCCTGATATTAGCAAACAAAACATGTACATGACGTCACGGCGGCGATGCTACTTATGGTGAAGGGCGCCGCTTTTGTTGGGCATCGAAACTTTCTCTCAACCCGCACACGGAAAACACCATTAACTGGTCAAATAATTAAAGAACCCCCCCAACTCCTTTTACCGTTTTCCGAGAAAAAAAGAAAGATAAGAGTTGTACTTATCAAGAAAATAAATAAACTAGAGAAAAATTGTGAATTTTGTTGATTTTTCTGAGACGGAGGTGTACGTAAGTTGTCATCGGACGATTCGGGCCCCGGCATTGTCGTTTTGTCATTTTTTTTTTGGGTAATACAGTGGTTAATTAGAAAAATGAGGCCTAGGCCCAAATATAGAAAGCGCTTACCTCATTAGTAACCACCACTCGTTTTCATTGTGTCATGACTCAAAATCCTTTGATCAAGTGAAATAAAATCCAGTCATTTCTTTACCACAGCCATCCTCACTGACGTACATGTACATGTACGCAATAATCCGCCATCAGGCCGGGGAGAGTATCTAGTAGCGACTTTTCGCTACTCTCCCCGGTCTGATGGCGGATTATTGCATACATGTATGTCAGTGAGGATGGGGGGTATTTGAGGGTTAGACCTTGATTCCCTCCTCCATGGTTGGACTAAACCTTTTGGATTTCATCCAAAATGTAGCCACTTATTTATTCATTCATTCCAATTATAGTTGGTTTCGTAAATTTTCTTTAAAAAATTTAATCGAACTCCCTGTACGTATACAACCAGTGTGGCACCACGGCGTTTAACCATGTAAGCGGAGCCCCTCCCATCCCCCGAACCGGAAGGACCGACACCGCTGTTACAACACGTCCTGTACAATGCTGTACATGTACATGTACAAATTCCGCTCTTCGCGCTGCTTAGATGTTTGATGTAACCATCAGCTAAAATGTGTAGCTCTATCGAGTTGTTAAGTCTAGTTCACTAGAAATTTGTGTCAACGTTTTTCCCCTGGGTATTCACATGTTAACTTTTTTGCAATAGCTAACGTGCAAAGGGCCAGGGCCGGCCCGGGGTGTACCTGCCACTTGGTACCTGTACCTGCTTGATTATTTGAGAATGAGGTTGAGTCAATCTCGATCGGATCGATCGTGCAAAGCTAGTACGCAGCGCGTATTTGCAATGAGCACGTTTCTGCGGCGTATCGATGCTGCGCTGGGAGCGATCGGTCGATATGCGCGACCGCCCGATTTTCAATTTGCGCGAACATTCCATAATTGCTTGATATTTCAATAATCCAGCCATAGGCCAATCGACATTTCTTTGTACTTTATGGTTTTTAAAGACTGTTTTTGGAAAAGGGGAGTTGAGGTGTACTTCGAGATTCATGCAGGATCGACCATGGATCGACCAACCGCGCAGGGCGATTGAACGATCGCGCAATTCTCACAATCGCGCACAGCATTTACCCTACCCGTACGCACGTCGTGCACTGATGTATCATGCACATATCATGTACATAGTGTAGGCCTGGCCTAATGACAGTCGGCCACGATCTTGACATCCTGGAAGATAGCGGGAATCCAGGAAGACTTTGTCGCTTTGTCTTCACTCAGCGGGTAAAGCCAGTGGTTCAATGGAAACTTTAAGATCGTTGCTCTCTCCTCCATGGTCACGAATACCTCACATTTGGGTATGATAACCAGTTATTACTAACGTTGATGGTACTGACTACTGTCACTGTAGCAGAACTCCAACTTCCTGAGCATGGAGGTAAAACGGTTTCCCGTAGAAACTACTGTACTGTACCGGTACATACATATACATGTACATGACGTGTACCGTGCATGTACATGTACGTACTTCCATGTCCTCCATGTTCTGAGTCAGTCTCTACTCTACATGTACCGCCGGTACCGCACGCTGTCATGGCTGTATGTTATGTATAATGTAGCCTAGGCCCTAACCCCCAGAACTGTGGGGTCTGCCCCGCTCCCACCATAGACTAGAGCAAGGAACAGATGCTCCCACGTTCGCGGGAGCATGGGCGGACATCAGACCCCACATTTCCGGGGGTAAGCCTAGGCCTAGGCTATACTCTATCATTTGTCTATGACTAGGCCACTTAAATTGTTTGTAACGCTGTGTGTTTTTTAACGCAGCCCGGTTAAATGAGTTATGTCAAATTGGGGTAGGCAGGCCTACATAGGCTAAATTTGATGACCTGTGGTTTTTAAGACGAGGTCTATTTCTTGACAAAAATTGGAGCTTTACTCACCACCTTCACATTCTCTTGACGACATGAGATCGAAACACATCATAACTTAAGTTGGAGATGGTTCTTAAATGTGGAAAAGTCGTTCGGGTACCAGTCCGCTAAAAGAGAAAATGCCTCCTTAAGTGTTAAGGGAACTTTTCTTCAAGTGTGCTGGAATAAAAAAAGTCCATTTTCTATTATCAATTTTCCCCCATATTCCCTGTTAATACATGTACAGGGTTCCGATACATGTATAGGCCAAACATTAAGTTGTTTTTATGAAGTTTGTACAATATCACTACTACTAGTACTAGCTTGATTTACTGCATGTAAATGATTGATCAGTTGTTTTGATGCAGTAATTTTCCCACCCTACATACATGTTCCATTGCATACTCCTGCTTGTTGCAATCCTAGAATTGCTTGTCCATGTTCATGCAAATAGTAGAGTTTTTTAATGGCAGCCTTGGGTGTTTTCTTCTGCGCAATCCAATTACGACATTTATTTTCCCCAGGGCAATGGTACATGTAGGTTCCCCAAGCTACATGTACATGTATATGTACATATATAGTACATGTGAAGCCCACTTCAAAAAAGTCTGACTGTTTAACCCCTTGACGACAGGAATTTCTTCCCGAAAGCTGACTCCAAGAATTCCAGCCTCGCTTGGCCACGAAGGCCACCTGCCAAACCGCAAATTCACGGTTTGTGGCCGTGTGTGCTCTGCACGCTTTGAATTACACAGAGAAAAGGCTGATTGTTCGGTGGCATGCGGCTCTACTCACGCTTCCACATTCCCATTGCCTCTTTTCAAAGTGGAGACTATTGTGAAGCTGCTGATTATGATGCAAAATCGGTCTTTTCATTTCTGGGCTACACACAAAAACCAATTACCATACACACAAGAGCCAGGGTCTGCCTTCTTTCACCGTGTTCGCTCGAGGTTGGGCCGAGAATAATAGCTGAAAAGCGGGCTGAGGATCTCAAATTTTATGGCGGCTATAGCCGCCTCCCGGTGCGAAGGGGTCAAGAGATATTTGCACTTTTAAGGGGGACTGATTTTGTCCCTTAATAAAGAGACTGTCTCCGAGTTTAGAGATTGTCTCCAAGTTGTGATGTGTACCCCTACTGAGAAATGTACCCCGATTTGACAAAGTGGGCTGCAGTCAAAACCCTGTAGGCTGTAGCATTATGCATCCATTTAGTTGTACATGTAGGGCCTTAAATCACACAGAGTAGTGACAAGCGGTTTTGTACAATGCACACGTACAGCTTGGCCTATGCTTGCTTTCAAAATGACCTTCGTGTGGTGACCACCACCAAGGAGTGCCAGTGTGAGTAATAGTGACCAGTCTTGCCTTTGCCGGCAAGGCTGTAGACAAACTTATCACTGGGCTCAACTACCTGTACCGGTACATCGTTTAGTGCAGAGGTTAGGTTAAAATTCCTTCCCCCATAGTAAGGCATGTCTGACGTCCTGACTCCTGACAATGACGATGGTGCTTGCACTGGTATGCTAACACGCTACAGCACACAGTAGCATTCTGTCATCGGTTGGTCATGTACAGGTTGGCTGACCTAAACGTAGCTCTGTACCAGTACATGTACATTTATAGTTAGGACTGTCCGTGGACAGACACTATCAGCATGATCGGTAATACATGTACGGTACTGTAATAAGGGTGTAACAACTGCACTGCTTGTGCACAAGATTTAGCATTGAATGTTGGCCTCTGTCGTGTACATGTTACCTGACATTATTACATGTACATGTATTTATCACACGAGGGTGAGTGGAACACGGAATAATGTATGTAGAGTGTCTGTGTTCCGTATACCACAAGGCCGATACGGGACACAAAAATGGCCTTGTGGTACCGGTACTGTATATGGGACAGTCGCACTACATGTACATGCTGATAGATTGATCTTCAAGTAAACATGGCGTGGCCGCAAACGCGTCATCTTTGAATTTGCAGCATTTTTCAATTTTTTGCAGATATGCATTTTGCTTTTTAGCTTAAAAATAGTGCAATGTGTTTATTTTAGAATAGTGCATTACACGGGGTTTGATATGAACTGTGCTATACAGTTACATGTACATGTTTACAGTGTACATACTTTTTGTTGCCATGGATTGACCAATCAGAATTGAAAATTCAAGATTTTTTGAAGATAAGTGTTGCTGTGTACGGTAGCCTTTTTATGAGTTTTGTACATATTTACTTACATGTACATGTATGTGTCATGGTCTAGGCTTGTCAACTTTTTGTTCCAACTCTCCATCCTGCTGAGAGCTCTAGAGGTAAATCAAATACTTATCTTACCATAATGTTGGCTGTGACATACATATACATGTACATGTAGCATCACCAAAGCCCCAAAGCCAATGCCGTTCCAGAATGACCTCGGGTACACTTCATTTTGGGCATGCACTGTAGGGTCTACTGACTCACGCTGTACATGTACTAGTGTTTAACTTGAATTCGATATACATGTAAAACACCCCCAAAACATGTCCTTCAATTTAGGAAAAGACTTGGATCTTTCCAGTAGACCCTTCTCCCACCTACACTACTATGTTTACATGTATGGTATTTGTACATATGGTAATTATCCAATCCACAGTACTCTGCTTTCTGACTTGCTCAATTAGACTGGGGACTGATAAAGTCAAAGGGGAGCACTGTTCAGCATCATTCTGCTTGTAACAAGGAAACTTTGGGGTCTCAGTTCTTTGTTCGTCATCGTTTTTATTCTTGATTAAGGTTCCTAATATACATTGTAACAAGGTACATTGTGACTGCAAAGTATACAGTAATCTCTTATTAACAAGATTCAACGGTATACATGTATACAGGTCTGTACATGTACCGGTACACATACTGTACAGGTGTAGGGCTGGTTCATACTTGCCACGTACATGTATTCACTGTGTACACAGCGCGAAGTTCTCTTTTGAGGTGTCTGCAGTGTGTGAATGAAAGTGCACTGCGTATTGAAAATGTGCGCCCTTTTACGCAGTTTGTGAAAATAATGGATCGTGCGTATGCATCAAATATATGTGTAGTCGGACAAATTGAAATTTTTAAACTTTCGTGGGATACACACACGCAGACTTGAGAAAAGATGAAAGTGTGAATGTTGAATGCGGCGTTCACATTACGCACTGCGTGTATGCAAACGCAGCGCGTATGAACCAGCCCTTACACACTTCATAGTGCTGAAAGGTTTTTGGGTACAGTCTCCCTACGTTTGTGTTCAACAATGTTCAACTTGAGACGTACTCATGCCAGCTGTGTAAAAAAAGATGCTCTGGAACCTGGATACAAGACAGTTTACTCTGTCCTTATTGATCAAGAGTCTGTGTGCAACGTAGTTATCATATATTGACTTCTTTTGACTCTGACTAAAAAAGAGTGAATGGGAATAAATACATACAGTACATGCTTGGCACAGGAGAATTATCACTGGTACTGCCTGAGCCGCATTAGTCACATCCATTGTCATGAGGCGGCCTTAAAACGTATTTTCAAGACTGGCCAAGCACATTTATTACCTAATTATAAAAATGGAACAGCCATACCGGTGCAAACTGGTTCCAGTACTAATCAAATGTATGTACATGTACATGTATTTATTCACGTTTTTGATTTAATACGTGTACCTTTTCTATTTGCTCATAAAGCCAACATTCTATGTGGTTAACTGCTGAGTTGGGTAACGGAAAACATCTGTCATGGACCTCCCATTGATGCACATGTACAAACATGTACACGTATACAATTGCAATATGCCAAGAAAACATTTCATACATGTAAAACCATGTTGTCATTGCCCACCGAGCTGTGGAATTCTTTTTGTGGTCAAAGCTGCTGGCTGTTTTTCCTGGGAAAGCTGGGGGGACCATTCTCTAACAGGAGACCAACAGTGCTGGCGCAGCTTTCACAAGTCTGTTTTGGGGTTGCTATAATCTGCAGTTGGAACTTGGAAGGAGGAAAACACATTGGGGACACTACATACCCACAGAGGCCTATGGTCTGCACCAGTGACAAAATTCCTGCTACATGTTCTACACAGGTTCACTTGTATATACACTGTACATGTATGAACTCTTTTATGTACATGTATACTGTATATACAGTGCCTTCTCACAAACTGCATGTGGAACTTGATCAATAGGATCTGTTTTATGTCACAGTCGCATTTTTCCTACAGGTGGCTGCTAAAACTAGATCAGTACAAAAGTAAAACAATAGGCCTAATTCACAGTGTTAAACATCCCGTACAGCTACATGTACACTATACTACATGTATATTGTATCAGAACACCTGATAATGTTATACAATGTACCAGTATGTACATACAGCACTAATGAATGCTTAATGAAAACCCAACCCTGCTTAAAATTAATAGGACAAATGTAAAGTTTGAAGGAATTTAAGGTAAAGTTAAAAAATAAAAAAACCAAAGGATTACACGTGACTTTGGCCGCCCATACACACCCGTGTACACATGTAAATTGGAGACAAACTGAGAGTGGTCTGTATTCATAGTCAGTCAAGCACCAATCATATCCTGAATTGCTATTTCATCATTCATATTCACGGTTGGATGAACGGACATTTACCGGTATAGTAATTTAACCTTGTACTGCCCACTGATCGCTGTCACACACATGTACACAATATGCATGTAATGATGTACATGTACTGGTAGATCATACCGTACGTGTACATGGCCATGCACAGTGCATGCAAAAGTTCAGTCTGAGTACCGTATTGTATTGGTCGGTCCTCTGTGAGGACTTGAGCAGATGGTGAGTTTTGAATGGTACTGGGTGTGTGCAGGTACGTGTACATTCAATTACATGTATGTGTATTCCTTTGCCATTATATCTTCAGGCATTAGAAATTCTCATTGACATGTGTGCACCGTGCATACCGGTACATGTACTTGATTCATTATCTTTTTGGCAATGCATAATGTGTAATGTACACACTGTACATGTACATGTAAAGTTCTACATGTACACGTACACGTATGGACGTGTACATGTACATGTACATGTAGGGTGATGTGTACACACAGTACATGAACATGTTCATGTACATTGACCTACATGTACTGGTACATGTCTTTCCCCCAGCGGAAGTTTTACATGTACTACATGTACATGTACACATGTAGTACTATGTACGCATGTGTGACTTGCGTGGAGATCCAAGTGTGCATGTCAGGCACATAGCGAAACAGTGAATGGAACACTGAGACTTAGACTCTGGATCATATGCATGTACACATTCACGTACATGTATATCCATGGGCAGTTTGGAATGATTTGGATGTGGGAGGTTGGATGGCAGCAAAGTGTGGCCGACTGCAAAGGGTGCATTGTGTCAAGGGTGGACCTGGTGCTGTTGACATGTATATGTACCTGTACCGGTATGCTCAGCCAAGCACAAATTGAGGCCTACCATTAGATTAAATGTGAAATCGTCCTCAGTGCTCCAGGATGGATGTGTACTTGTATCTGTCCTGCCTCAACACGCATGCCACGTACGACACGGATTGCTGAAAGATATTGACGGATTAAGGCAGGTCACCCTTCTAAGGACATCATTCAAGAGAAAAAACAACGGAGGATTTTGGAGGACTGATGAGGCTGTATCCAACTTTTCCATGGGGGGCAGTTGGAGGATTTTTGAAGGACTGAGGCTCATAGGTGCACCCTCAACATTGGCTTTATTTTCTTTAAATTTCCTGGTTTTCATTTTGCTAAAAGCTCCAGCTTTTAGTATGCTGTCCCAACCTGACATTTACCATGTTTACTCTGCAGAGGCAAATGACTAATGAAGCCCTTGTTGTCCAAACACTCAAATCTGGAGGCTGTTTTCATAACCTTGTTATTAATTGGCCAAGATGATGTACTGGCATGCACATGCACCCTACGTGCACCCTATTTTGCCCCAAGCACCTGCCTATCATCACCAGATCCTGATGCAGGTACCAGTACATTCAAGAACATGTATGCTGCATACACAACAGGAGAACTAAATTTAAGTACATGTACATGTATATGTGACCCACTCTGCCAAAATGAGTCTTAAGTCGCCAGAGCTACTTTGGAGTAAAAAAGTGTTTTAGAATAATTTTGAACAGTGTAAAATCAATAGAAACCCACAGCATTTGTCACCATGGTGTGTTCACTTTCATTAGGATGCCAAACTGAGTGATAGTGACTGTCATACATCAAAACAAAAAACTCAATTTGCTCTTTCTACAATGTTCTACTACAAATGATAACTCAAAAAGTGGCTCTGGTGACTTAAGACTCCTTTTCACAGAGTGGGTCACATATGTATCTGCAGTCGTTTGCGCCATGAGTTAGTAAAGATCTGTTGTCTCAATTCTGACGTAAATTTGTAACATTTTCGATTAGAAGAATTTTGTTTTACAAGATAAGCATATGTACATGTACATGTATGTAAGGCATTAGAAAAATCTGTCGCGTTCATAAGCTTTTTGCTTTTTGTTAAAGTGTCATCCTGTAAAATATGCACCTATACGACACAGATGCATGCACCTGTACATGTATTAGATGTGTATAGTGTACGGTCATGTAGTAGTGCAGTGTTCAGAATATTCAGATGCACAGTGGAGTTGTCAGTGTACAATGCACTCACATGCATTTGAATTGTCCCCTCAAAGCTGGGCGGGCAAATCGGCTGAGCTTTCCAGCTGAGCAGTTTGCAGATTGTCATTGTCAGGTCCATTTGCAAGTGTAATATCCTGCCTGTCATGATCACATCTGAAGCCATCTGCTGCTGCTGTGCCTTGCCTTTGCCCCGCCCAGGTGAATGAATAGCCAGAACAGAGGAGAATGGAGACAGTGCAGTGTTGGCATTGACAATCTTACACATGTATGTTTGCCATAGAGCAGTGCTACTTTAGCACTGCTAAAGTGTTAGACTGATTGTTTCTCAGTTTGTGATCATATTTAATATAGACCAATCAAATTTATTGTTTTGTAGGTGATAGAATAACACCTTGCCACAAATTGTAATTTTTCATTTTTGTGTTGCATATGTACATATTGTTGATCTACTGGTACATGTATTTCTCTGTCTTTCTTTCCCCCACCCTACAGAGGTAGCCCAAGCACAGCTACATGTAAGTTTCAGGTCAGGCCCATTTAGTGATCGAGTGCCTTCTTGGCAGACCCGGGAGAAGGAGAATTGAAGTCAGTATGAGGTTACGAAGAATCCACAAACTGGTGATAGCTGTCACATGCCTCCTCATGTACACCGTGTACAGGGTCACCAATGATGCAAGTGACGGGAATCGGCATGATGGGGACAGCCATGTACAGCAGGCTCCAAATGCGGCAAACCCGGTCGAGCCTGTGCGGCCAAAGATGGAAGACGCCAGGGTGCCTAGACTTGAAAAACAGGACAAGTCGGTCGTGGCTGTGCAGCCTCCGGTCAAACAGTCCGACTCCGAGATCCCCGTGGTCAACCCCGTCAACGTCGGCACCAACAGGACTGGGCAGGCGGAGCGAATCAGGCAGGCCATCCTGGAGATCAACAGCCGGGAGGAGATTCACAACCTGGCCCGGTTCCCGTTGCGGTCCAATGCCAGTGTCGTCATTTTGGTCATGGTGCACAAGAGACTGGAGTATCTACGTTACCTCATCGATTCCTTGCGGGGAGTGCGGGACATTGGTGATTCCCTGCTCATATTCAGCCATGACTATTACTCAGAGGAGATCAACGCTCTGGTCAAAACGGTTGACTTTTGTCAGGTATGCATGTTTAACACAATCCATGGTCCATTGCCTCTCCATTGTTGTTTTTTTTTGCATATTCCCTCGTCATTTAAACTAACAGTACATGTTTAAAGACTAAGTAATGTGAATGTACATGTAGGGAAACAGAGTTGACTTCAGTCTGTTGCATGTTACATTGATACAGGAGGGTCAGTGGTGAGGGATTAGCTCTTTAAGAAATGGAATTGAGCTGCCAGTGAACCCAGTGGAAACATTCTGCAGAGATCCGTCATTTATTCAGTCAGGAAACCTACAATGATTTTGCCCTCTCTTCTGTTGCAGACTATGCAAATTTTTTATCCGTATTTATTGCAAATCTACGAGAATGAGTTTCCAGGAGAGGATCCCGGTGACTGCCCTAGAGACATGAAGAGAGACAAGTAAGCTCCCCTCCCCCCACCTCCCTGATCTAAGTTGGAAGGGCAGGTTGCATGTGCTGCCACTGTGGTAAATGTACATGTACGTGTACACTGAACGGGTACATTCATGACACTGAGGTGCAGAGGCTGGAGCACATTATGCAGGTTTCACCTCAGCAGTGTTTCCCCATAGGTTATGCATCATTTATGCTTTAAATAGAGCAGTCTGCAGCCTTCCCTCCTCTCATGCCCCTGTGAGTTACTAGTCAGGCCATGTGCATGTACACTGTACCAGTACTGGAATGAAACTACATAAAGAGTGCTTTCTGTTTTTTACATAAAGGTCTATTTGTCGAGACTGACATATGCGGTAAATTTGGTTCCGTCCATATTTGACTGCAAAAATTGAATAACAATTCTGTCTAAAGCAAGAACAATCAAGATTTTTTTAACGTTCGGAAAGTGCAGTGCACTAGAGTCATGGAATTTTATTTTCATTTCTGAAGTCTGCATAATTCAGTAGAGTTTGTTAAAATGGCAAACGTTGTGGGTTTTCATTGTTGCGTTGTGTTCTCTGATTGCAGTACATGTACATCATGTACATGTTCAAACACAACATGTACATGTACATTATACATGTGCCTACAGTACATGTTGTGTTTGGTTTCGATGTACATGTACATGTAATTTGTATTCGAACATGTACATGTATTTTATTTATTTCGTTTTTCCCGAACAAAATATCCCAAACTGTGAACCCATGTACCTGTACTTGTACATGTACACTCTACATGTACATGCGTACCATCACTACCATGGCATACACTTACATGTACAGTGGTGGTGTACCGGATATTGAACGTGTCACAGATCAATGAAATGTGTGACACCTGTGTTCAAATTGACACCACCAATTGTCAAACAAAAATTGATTGATAAAGAGCTATGTGTACAATCGGCAGGGTGTTTGCGCATTTGGACAGTAAGGTTCCACGATTTTGCAAACTTTGTCGATGTTTGTTATAAGAATACAGTTTTTGCATACGGATATGCACACTGTATGCATGTACATGTACGTGTACATGCTGTCAAAACCAGTTGGTATTGTACATAGCTATGAATTAAAAGATTCATAATTTTTTTTATTTTTGGAAATTTGTGATGCCAAGTGTGTGATATTTAAAATGTTCTGTAATTTTTTTTTCTCATCTCAACATTTATTTCCATATTTGAAAGTACACTTAGTAATATACACAGGATCGAAAAACAAAAGATGTTTGACAAAATACAAGAAAAGTACATGTACTTGTACATGCACATTTAAAAACCAGATCAAAAGGGTGCAAATACAGATAGAAATGCTTTATTAAGACAAATTGACAAAACTATGGGTAACTACATGTGGCTCATACAGAAACCGTACATGTACCATATCTGTACTTACAGACAAGGAGGATTCTATGCACATTCATGCACTTTTTGCACCACTTCACGAATGCACACAATAGAAGCTAATACCCAAA